AGAGAGAGAGAGAGAGAGAGAGAGAGAGAGAGAGAGAGAGAGAGTAAATTCAAGAAAAAGTTAACCTGTGTGGATTCTGCTGCTTCTTCTTCTTCTTGGGGAGGAATAAGGAGAAAGAGAAATGGGGGAAGCGATGAATGGAAGGGCCAAAGAGAGTGTCTACAAAATTTTATAAGAGCGCGGGAGGGGAGGCCAATCACGGCTGCTGTGTGGGTTCCACGTCACACTTCCCACGTGGCAGATAAGAAACGAACCAATGGCAATCCTGGGGCTAAGAATTAGTGACGCCAGCACAAACATACAATACAAGAAATTCGGGTGCTGTTTGTCTTTTACGAATCATAAAATAATGTGTTTGCAGCCGTGCCATTAGTTTTCTGTTGTATTTCTTTTCAGACCCCAATACTTACGTTTGCTGACATTCAGACCCACATCACACAATAGGATTTATTGATTCGTTCTACGCTATACTCTGTGAACTTTTATCAACGTTTTCTGCTATACACGTGTATTAATTCATAAATATTTTACGCACACCCACATGTATATTTCCCTTGAAGGACTAAATTAGTAAACGGATTCTCAAGACGAGCAAAAAAATTGGATGTTATCTAATAGATACCGAATGCCTTTTAAGTGGGAATTTTAGCAAATCATGTTCTATTATAATTTGGCGTGAAAGTATTATATGTTATGTAAAAAGTTTAAAAGAAAAAGCCACTAGAAACATATTAATAAATGAATACAAGCAAATAAAAAATCAATTTGTAAAACGAGACAAGCTCGGTGAATATAGATATCAAGAATTCCATGGGTCCAATTAGATTAGATAGAAACAAGATTGGAGTAATCTGTAAATACAACAAAATACGAGGAGCAGAAGTATAAAAAGAGATATGAGAAGAACATAGTAGAAAAATACATGCCATAGAAAATTGTCACGAAGCTTAAGGTGGAAAAGAAGGATAACGTGATAAAGGGCTTTCAACCACACCATCTATTTGGGAACTCAAGCCACACAACAAATTTTTCATTTTTTTTTTTTTTTTTTTTTTTATCTTACTTTGATTTCAACCTTTGTTTTATTATTTCTTTTAATCTCTTATATATATTATATGAGGCTATTAGGCATACAAAACAAAGTTACATATCTATTCCTACTACATAAACAAGGTCCAAGAATTCAGGCATTTACACCATTACAATACAAAAGGCTTCCTTGTTTTATTTTCATTTTTTTAATTTGTAGCATTAACTGATGATAGTTGCTAGAAATAGCTACAAATTTACATTGAACTTGATAAAAAAAAGTGACAAGAAATTACATATTTGAAAAGAAAACCATAAACTAAAATGTATGTAAGCAAATGTTAGAAAGTGACACCTTCAACTGTTGGAGCAAGTGAGCATGTGTCAATTGACCCATGTACGAATCTCTTTGCCAACGGGTCGAACTTATCACACATGGTTAGCCTAGTGTGATTTACGTCTCTCATATGATTTGCAAGCTATTATACGAGAGTGCAACTTTATCCAGTGCACCTATACGGTTGACTGAGTATTCCTTCATTACCAAAAAAAAAAATACACTGCAGCCTCATTAGAGGTTCTTGCTTTTTGATCCTTGTAACAAAACTCTGCAACACAATTTTCCTGCAAGACAAGCTCAAAATCTTGATCAGTTCAGAGCGGCCCAAAGAATTCTAGATTCTTCAGTTAACAGAGGGCAGAGCAAACAGATATGCACCCATACACATGTATACACATATTTGTGTGAGAAAGAGAGAGAGAGAGAGAGAATAGTCCTTTTTCAATATCCAGGCTACTAAAGCGTGTGAACTACCCGCATATGGATTATTAAGAAGCAAAACCTGATTCAATAAGGAATCGACATCATTTTTAAGAAACCCCCTGACAACGAGGCTAAACAAACCCAAAAACCGGCAAACTGCATCTTTTGGTACTCTATGGAGCAAAATTGTATCATTTACACTTCATAAGGTCATTATACATACAAAAAATGTCCTTGCGTGGTGCATCACAAATGACCAGCGAACCCTTTCAACTATCTTCTATATACGTAAAGATATCAAAACTAAATAAATATATGAAGAAAACAAAAAGAAAAGCTAAAAGAATCTTTGGAGGATTTCCAAGTATATCTTTGCTTCGAGCCAACCTCCCAACAACAAGTGATCGTCAGAATTTTCTGTATTCACCTGTAGAAAACAGATGCAGTCGTGTATTTTTCACGCAGCTTCAGATCAATTACAACTCTGAAAAGGACACATCAAAATTGTTATTCTCGTGATCTCAAACTTTGAAAGTCAAAAGGTTCCTAGAGCAAATGAGCCATTTAGAACCACGCATAAGACAATTTAGCCATGTCCTTGCCCCAATAGCTACTTGATACTAGATGAGAAACCTTGTCTTGGAGGAAAGCCAGCTTGCGGTTGAGCCCTGTAAGGCCTTCCATTACTGAATTGTCTGCCATCGGGTGGTGGTGGTGGTCCAAGAATCCCGGAAGAGTGGGAATCAGGTAACCATGCCCCATTACTTGAAGGTCTCTGATTTTGAGAAGCATCAGCCTCAGCTCTTTTTCTCCGTTTCCAAGCTTCAAATTTCCCCACATCAATATCCCTGTGCATAAATGGTGCTGTTTGATTCCCAGGAGCAGAGCCGTTGATTTGGGATGGTCCCACACCAGCTGCCAGTTGCTCCTGTTTAAGTTTGGTATAGATTTGCTGAAGTCCCTCACCGGACAGATTTGAAAAGGTAGATACATAATTCCATAATCTCGTGGTCATCCCTGTGCAAAGTTTAAATTCATATTAAACAATTTTGCCTAAAAAAAAACAGTCTGGTAAAATAATAGATGATAGTCATCTATCATTTCAAATCTTTTCCCTGCCGTTTTTCCCTTATGGTATCTTCTGATCCACACCCTGCTGATCTATGGAGATACGTAGAAAGCTAGAACTTGAAACAGTGTAAAAAAATAAATGTTATGCAGATGAAAATATACGTACTTTCTTGCCTATAAGACTCCTGCTCATACTCCGAAACAATTTGGTCAATCCTCCGACCAATAAGCTGCAGGTAATTCCGAATTTTGGACAGAACCTGACATAGTAGAAATTTAGGAGCAAAGTTCAACACTATAGAGAAAACCAAAGTAATACAGGATGTGGTCACTGATACTCGAACTTACCTTTTCCTTTGGCAAATCTGCACTTGTGGACTGCAGCTTTTGAAGACGTTTCAGAGTCTTCTCCTCATCTAGCATGACATCTTCACACCACTCCATCCACTTAACTTCCTTGAACTGCTCGTAAACTTCTTCGTTATCAGACATTTCACCTTCCTCTTTAACTAAAGGTTCAATCTTCTGAGATTTTGGAGCTCTTTTTTTGTTCATCTGAACATTCAAACTAGGGGAATCCGGTTTCCCTTGTCTCCCTTTTCCATGTGATGATATAATAGCTTCTTTCTGTCTTTTTGCATTCTTACGCCCAACTTTGACAGTAGAATTCTTCCCACCAACTGAAACAACTTCCTGAGAACAGATTAGGCAGGCACCGAATCAGAGGTGGCGACGAATTTGAATAATCGTCGAAGGAAAAGGCATAATGCAAGACTAGGCTATCTTTGCATGCATATCTAGATCGACATGCATGGAGAGGTGCAGAAATGTTAATTGAGAACCAATAACCAGAACAAGATGGCGTATCTATTCCAAATTGATGAATAACAACTAAACAAGCAAATTAGATCACATGAAGAAACTTCATCACAAAAATTGCAATAAGTAACCAGAGATAACTTGAACAAATATTCACATTTCATGCCAGATAAAATTGTTACTCTGTGCTTGATCAGAGAAAGTACCTGTTCTTACAAACTCCCTTACCATGGAGCATGGAGTACCAATTTTATACCAGGTCGGTCTCGGATCATGGTAAGGGATTTTGCGTGATCAGATAAATAATATGTTCTTACAAACTCTTATATCCAATTGAAGAACATCTAAAATTATGATACAAAAGAATAGTAGTTCCACTATCAACTAGAGGAGGTGGGGGTGATTTAATAAGAATGCATTTTGCCTACCATTTCCAAAAGCTGTGAAGCCCGTTCTTTCAGTTGGGGGGCTCGTGGTAAGAAAGTTTCGTGATGTTGAAGTTCCACAGGAGCAATCTTCTTGGTAAGACCAAGTTTTTCATCTAACCTTATTTTTTCCCAATTGCCGAATCCATGATAGTGAATTCCAAGCAGCAGCCTTGCATCATCCTCTGATAGTACCCAAGAAGAAATTGTTATGTACCCAACCATAGTAATACAAACATAGTAACATTTCTCCACACAACAATGTATCATTTCCCGGCATTCCACCCACTTAGAAAATCAAAACATAATACTAAAAACTGATCTATAGTTGATGCACGTAAAAGCCAAAAATTGTTTACTTACTCTGGTTCCAACCACAACCTTTAGACCATGTGGATGGTTTGAGAGATGCAAGTGCTCGGAATTGAGAGACAGGATCTCCATATCTGCTAATCCGCTTTGCAAGGAGCTGAAGTTCTTCCACACGGCTTAATACTTCATCAGCCTTTACAGGTACACCAAAAAAATCCAAAAGCGGGCCCTGAATGAATAGTTAAACAAGTTACAACTGACATAACAGCAGAATTTTGAACTCTATCGCATACAGATAACAAAGGACAAACCTTTGGGTCCAGAGTCTCTCCTTTAACTGCTTCTCTACAACCATCAACTAAAGCGTCATAAAGCTCTATTTGAGATTCAGTTGGGGCAGCTTCAACTGTTCCACCAACTTCTTCAGCTATCAAGCTTATATGGCTATCAGTTCCGAACTTCTTAACCTAATATAGGTCAGCATCAGTAAGATAAAGGTCCAAACTACAGATGCCAAAAAGATAGGACAATAGGGAAGTTTAAAAGAGGATTCCTTTTTAATAGTTTCATCTCAAACGAAGACAATCAATATAGTAATGAACTGAGTCTATTTCTAGTTAGCTAATGATTCTTTTCGTCACAACATCGCCATGGAGATGAAAAAAAATATTAAAGCTACAATAACTTAACTTTAGTTAAATATCTAGGAGAATAAACTTATGATTGTTATCTATCCTAACTGTTTTCTTGAAGAAGACAGTCCCTTTAATCCAATAATTGATCATCATTAATATCTGATACTCACGATGAATGGGAGAGAGTTGGGTGTTTAACCTTTATTTTTCTCCTTCATTCTCACACATTCCTATGGAATGGTAACAGAAAATAAACTTCGAAAATAGTCTTTTTTTTGTCCAGTCATCATACAAACAAAACATTTCCAAACACACCATTCAAACAGCATAAGCAACAAAAAGGCCTACTTAATAAGACAGAACTTATCTCAGTCGCTTTTCACAACCCAAAAACACATCTGGATTTCATCACATAATCTCCCACTTGATAAGATCAAATCTTAAATGTAGGTTCAAGAGCAACAAACTACAGAAGATGCATAACAAATAAAAAAATCACAAGCTTCAGTTCATGATTGATGTTGTCCACAGCGTTCACTTTCACTTCATCGATTAAATGCCAAACGATCTTTACTTATACCTGGAAACATGCATAACCTGAAGATAGTCCATATACCAGAAACCTTGTTGTGGGAAGTTCAATCCCAGGAATTTGTGTGTGTGCGTGTGTTGGCTACCTTGTCGTGGGAAGTTTAATCCCAGGGATGTGTGTGTGTGTGTGTGTGTGTGTGTGTGTGTTGGCGTGTTTGTCGTAAGAGCATTATACGGCGATTTTTCTGTTTTTTTTAAAGATAGTCCATATTGTGATGTTGGAAGTGCTAAAAGAGTGTCCTACATAAAACCAACACATGCATTTTACCACCCAATTCTTTGCAGGACATGTTTTTAGCCAGCAAAGATATGACAAACCCCCCACACTCTAATTTCAATAGAAAATAATTCCAGCGAACAGAAGAAGTGTTATGATCAAATCACATTTCGATCCTAACATGCCAGGCTCATAAATTGTGACTTAAGCCAACTTATGCTTAAATGTCATGTCAAAACTACCAAATTAAGAAAGTTTACCGCGCGGAAAAACCGTGTTGCATCTCTTTTAGGTAAGTTCCCATATGACCATCCTCTCACTTGAGCTGTAGCACCCTCAAGCATTGGAGGGAAATAACCAGAATCTGCCCTGCGCCGCTTTGACAGCTTTTCATGAGCTTCAACTCCTTTCTTTTTCCTTTTATTGATCCTTTCAGGTGGTAAAGCCTCCGCATAACTTTTAATATTCCTTGCTGCTCGGGGAGCCAAAGAATCCTAGAAGATATAAAGAACATTAAAAGAACTGATCACACTGAATTATAAATTATACGAGACACCAGGCATATATCAGGGTAAATTGCATACATCAGCTTGCACAACAGCTTCCGGCTTTATCATCCGGCTCCAAAAAGTTCCATCATCTTCAGCACTACAGAAATTGGCCACCTGCATATCGTGACAGATTAATTCGGTTCACAACGGAAATCATCAAGAACAAGTCAGAACAAGCTTTAGAGCAATGCAAGTCAACAAAAACCAGCAGACTAATAATGACGAACAGAGTGGCAGGCATAATAAAGGGTGAGGAGCGTGTCTCACCAAAATTACACAATAGCGAGAGCGTGAGTATGATGAAAACTGGAAATGAAAATGTCCAATTACTATTTAACAGAAAAATCATGATAAACTACCTTAAAAGCACTCAACAATTCACTTCCTTCCTCTCCTTCGGGTATTTTTTCTTCAACCTTCTCTGCCCTTTCAAGAATCTCATCAATATCCATACTGAGAAGCCTTTTCTTACTTTCCTCATCGTTTTTATCTTCCTTGAAAAGTTCCTCTGCCCCAAACCTCAGAATAGCTGAAAGCTCATTCTGCATAACAAAAGGAAATAAGTAGGAGAACAGAGCCACATTTAATTTTATAGAAACATAACATAGACCATATGGTTTAGCAAGGAAAAATCAGAACGTAGGAGGCATTCATGTACACAACAATAGAATCAATAAACCAACAGAACTGAGATTTTACATTCATGAACTTACTTTATCAAAAGAACTACCCTTTTTAGCTTCCTTTTTCTCCAACTTTCCCTCAGCATTCAGCTTTTGAATAACTAAATGATCCAGAACCTAAAAATAAAATATCACAAAGTGAGAATCTGAAATGCCCACCACCTACAGATGAATCTAAACAAGATGTTACAATACAATAATATGCAAAACAACCAATTCTCAAAATGCAAGACCAAATAAAATTTCTGCAAGTTTACACATGATAAAAAGAGCATAAAACCAAAAATATGCAAAACTTTTGCAGTACTGCATACCATCTTCTTCTTAGCCCGCTCCAATATATCTTCCTCAACACTCTTGCTAGTAACAAACCTATATATATTTACTACTTCTTGTTGCCCAATTCTGTGAGCGCGGCTCATTGCCTAGTTAGCACAAGAATATTGAATTAGTAAGGCCATAAACACTAAAATAATGTTAAGTGACAGAAATTAAGGAACTATGAGAATGTATGCAATAGTATATCATAGACCTGTAAATCATTTTGTGGGTTCCAATCTGAATCGAATATGATAACTGTGTCCGCAGTTGCAAGATTAATACCCAAGCCACCAGCACGAGTGGAAAGAAGAAAACAGAAATCCTCACTACCAGGAGCATTAAAATGTTCCATAGCCTGCTGACGTAACTCGGCCTTGGTACTACCATCCAGTCTTTGAAACTGGAACCCCTTGAGAGAGAGATAATCTGCCAGTATATCCAACAACCTAACCATCTGTCGACAAATATGACCTATTAATTAATTGTGGGTGACAAAAATCAAAATATGACGCTCTCATCACTTATGTCATATCTCAAATACGAACAAAGTTGAATATTTTTATTATCTCAAGTGCAACGTGAACTTTGGAGAAGTCCTACAAGTTTATCTCAAGTTCCTAATATCCATAAATATTAAAATATATAATATACACGGCACAGTAAAGCAGGATATTCATGACTGGAGTAAGGTACTACCCTATAGCACAGTGGGGCCAAAAAAATTGCAAACCTGAGAAAATATCAGCACACGGTGCTTTGTCTCATGCAATCTGTTGAGCAGCTTATCTAGTATGACCAGCTTCCCGCTACTCAAAATAATTCGTTCCAATTTAGTGCTACCAAGGGAATTTGAATCCCCACCATAACCATGGTCTGCACTTTCAAACAAAAATGGATGGTTGCAACATTTCTTCAGTTCCACCACTATATTTAAAAGTGAAACCTGCACGATTTTCGGAAATGACAATGAGAAATTTCTTCACTTGTTTTCTTCATATAAATGGAATACCAAACATTCCCAAATAAGCAAGAGCCAAAATAACAAGATCCATCATGCATAGTCCAATTAATGGTATTTTCTTAGTAACGTAACAGGGCCATAATGACATAGTCAATGAAGGCAGGGATTGTGGTAATCAATCACCAAATAAAAACATGAGAAGAGAATAGCATCAGCTAGATAATTAAGTGAAGGTTCCTTTAAGATTCAGCAGTTCGATGCAACAATTCACCTACAAGACTTCAGAAAAGTGAATGAAAGCAAACCTGATTCCCACGGACTCCTTTATTCAAATCCTGGAAGTTGCGTTCCAAAATCCACTTATAATACCTGAAAAGGAAAGTTCATCAAAAGAATACGAAGGGAAATTAAAATCACTAAGAACATCTTGTTTAAAAGTTAACTCACTGTTTCTGAAGCGGTGACATTTCAACCCGGAGTATGCGTTCAATCTTTGGAGGCAAAGACTTCTCTACATCTTTTATGACTCTACGGAGAATGTGTGGTCTCAATTCCATGTGAAGGTTACTTAGCTAAAAAGCAAAAAACCACAGAATGATTAAACTGCAATATGGATGTTTACAACATCATAGGTCCAGAAAAGGATGAAGTAATACCTCTGTTTCATTGAAGGAACTAAGATTCTTGTACTTCTGAACAAAGACATCTTTACTCCTAAATTTATCAGGATCAAGAAAATGAAGCAAAGCCCTGTAATTTGTAGATATTTTCAAAATTCCATCAGTGTCTAGCACATTAAAAGTAACACTTACACCTAAGTAACAATTTAGAGTTAAATGAAAACAAAAATCATGCATGTATAAATAGAAGAGAGACTTCTTCTAAACGAATCCAGCTAAACAATACCCCTGGAGTAACACCACGGCGCCACGCCAAACCCAACCACTCAAAACAGAAAAGGAAAAAAGAAAAAACAAGGAAATCTGACAATCCTAGGGCTCTCAACACAATTGAAAAGAAACGTAGCTGAGGTAAGCAAGAAAAATTTAAGGTGTTGATCTAAAATCTGCCTATAGCAGACAACAATTGCCTAAAAGCAGTTTTACTTCATCAGTCAATCGGACAACTGTCACAAGTAATTCAATTCTCATACACCACTTAGACAGCCAAAAAAGAATGCTCAAGCAGAGAGAATGATCAACTTCTGGTTAATTACTAAAAAAACCCATCCATAACTATTCTTATGGTAATCAAGCGAAAATCCACTAGTCGATGACACATTGTACGAAAAATATATATATATATATATATATATATATATATATATATATATATATATATATATATATATTCACAATGGAAAAACATATCACCATAGCTCCTCAACACTGTTTTGAAGGGGAGTGCCAGTAATTAGAACCTTGTTCTTTGTACTAAATTCCTGAAAAACATGGAAGTCAATACTCAGAATCCAAGCAACTTCGAAGTACACTGAACCAAATTAATGTTAAATTTAAATGACTATCATACTGATAATGTCATATACAGAGAGGCCTCGCTGTTCTTTAACCTATGTGCTTCATCAACCATAAGATAATTCCACTTAATTTTTGAGAGGGCAGTCTTATCCTTCAATAAAACCTCATACGTAGTTAAGAGAGTATCAAATTTTATACTCCTGCCTGTTCTCTTATCATTGTCAAACTCATATTGCTGGCAGACCTGCAGTTAAAGGAGATAATAATTAAAAAGTAAAAAATAAATGGAGGTAAATGTTGGAAATTTTACAAGAGCAACCCCAGTTAATATTAAAATTCAAACACAATTTAAGAACTTAAGACTCCTATCATAAGGCAGATGAAGACACCAATAAAAATACATTAACTTGAGTCTTCTTCAAAGAAAACCATTCACATAACAACCCAACACGGTAATGCATGCAAATTGTCTTTCATAGAAACTCCAAAGTGCAGAGACCGGATAAAACATAACATTTCTTAGGACACTAACAATGGACCTTCGCTTCAAGTGGAAAAACAATATCCGAGAATGACATTGTGGAGCATCAATGGTTATATTGCCCGACACTTTGAGCAATCTCATATAAAGTTCAGATAAAGTTACAATGTAGAAAATACACACCAGAATTTGTTCTCGTATACAAATATAAAAAATAAAAACTCTTGCACTCAGAACAAGGAGCATTAAAACAAAAGACAAGTTCAAACAAGAATGATTGGATTTTTTAGCTTCGTTTTGGGCGTAGGGGTAACTGGGCAAGGCATATTTAAGAAAGGAATCCAAAAAGTAATGTTGTTCATGTTATGGTAGAAACATTTTTATTCCAGGTATCTTGTAGATGTCATGTCTTGTAAATTATTGCATGGATAGTGGTATCATCTGGCTTTTTATAGGTCATATTTTTTCAATGTACGAAAATGAATATTCATATATGATATTTCCTAAATTGAATACTGTAATGATGTTAATATAATACCAGAGGGCATTTTGTTTTGATGGAAGGGATGCGTTCTGCGAGAATAAGGAAAGAAATACAAACTCTTTCTAGCGGAATGAGAATTCTTTTGTTGGAATAAAAACAAACTGTGGTTGTGTTTGGTGAAGGAAATATATGAGAATGGAAAATTAATCACAATAGATGGCTCTCGATCAAATCCAGAGAAATTATCTAGTTTCTCATTAAAGTAAATGGAATACAAGAAAAATTTTATTTTCAACCAATATGGAAAATGTGTCGCCCCTCATTATGTGCGTCTGAAGGAACAGTAAGTTCTTTGAAAAAGAGATGAATAATTGAAGGCAAAGAAGTCAAGCAGTCGATAAATCCAACATAAGTAAGAGTAAATCTCACACTTCTCCATCAAAATTATCAGCGATTTTCCACTACAACCATATATTTTTTGTTACACTTTGCCTCCTGAAGTATACGGGATTTGCACGATGCCTTCTAGAAATCGAGAATGGGGTAATTTTCCTATGAGATTTTATTACATGCGAGACATGAGTTTGTTATCCAAAACATTTTGATCATTGCAACATGTAAAGAAAAATGGCCGTATCAGGGCCCCTTGCCATTTTACATTTTTTTACATGTGACGCGATATTAAACTCAAAGAGAAAAAACCTTCAGTTATACATATAACTGAATCTCAACCGGAAATTTCTCAAATCCTAATGTTCTCGAAGGCAACGTGCAAGTCTTATATAATTCAGGAGCTAAAGCATAAAAAAAATAGTCTGGTGGTGAGGTGTAAAAGCACGTATAGTTCGATTGGATAAGCGCAACTTACCCTGTATATGAAAGGAAAAGAAAATTATAACTACCTCACGGCTAGCACGAGTTCCAACATATATAATGACATTCATGTCCGGCAACCACTTTCTGAATTCTTTAGCCCAATTAGACAAGGTTGACAGAGGAACAACAACAAGAAATGGTCCTTGAATTTGCTGAGCATTCTGTGGAAATGATTACGATTTAGTAGCCATGAAAACAATGGAAGAAGTCTCAAGGCTGAGTAGCAACAACACATACCTGCAAGAAACCAAGCATTGAAACTGACTGGACAGTTTTACCAAGACCCATTTCATCAGCTAAAATTACATTAGTATCATTCCTCCAGCTGCGCTGCAAAAGAGTCACTGATCAGCACTCCTTTGCATGTAAAAACGGATCAAATAAAACCTAAGAACATAACTAGTTCAAAATAGATCCATCGAGAACCCAAGTCCGCACCTGTTGACCAAAAAATTCAGACCTTCAAGCTGATAATCTCGAAGTTTGCCCCCTTTCAACCACTCAGGCTGCTCATCGAGCTTCCTGAGACTTCCTGAGAGAATGAGAAATCATCACTATAGGCTAACATGACCTAGAATCTTAAATTCCATTTGCAAGAATCATCACCAGGCAAACCAAGGGGTGTTCTGTTGACAGATTATTTAACTATCGTCTACCTATTGCCAGAACATTAGAGAGACTGTTGCAATGATGCATAAAAATAAACATGAAAAACTTAAATACATCTAAGTGGAAATGCGGGATGTATATGGGGGAATGGCATACCTTTGCTTCTCTTGCGCTGGAAATCAACAGTTTTCCCTTGAACCATCGCTGCAGCCTCCCGGGCCTGTTCCAATGAGAGGGTAATTTACTTAATGACCTAGATTTTGTGCTTAAAGTGAACAAACAGTTTTTTTCAGAAATACAGTTCCAAATTTAGCCCAACAATGAAGAAATGAAATAAAATAAATAAACGATTAATAACACTAAGGAATATTCATGGGGCATCTTTTGTGCTTTCAAGACCTCAAGGAATTAAATTACATAAGAACCAGATGAATTGCAGTTAATAAGAACGTACGCCAACCAAGTGCTGGATAGGGTTACAAAAATATAAGACTGAGAAACCCTTCCATTTTCTTGCTTGCCCACAATGATCAGGCTATACTATGGAATAATATCTTACTACGTGACGAGATAAAAATTGAAATCACATGACTTAATGACAGAAAATGAAGTAGGTTGTGAACATGCCAACAATACATAAACACAGTGTGTCTCTGATTAGATATGCACAATTTATAAGAAAACTAAATCTTAATGTGGATTTCCAACATTCTGACTAAAAACAAATTGAAAGGCAACTGCCTCATGATGACTTTCATGACAAAAACAAGCTGGTTGACTGAAGATCCTCAAACATGCACTGGCCAAAAGCAGAAGTCATAAAAGTAATACCTTGTACTCATCAATAGCATCTTGAGCGAACGAAATATCGATGTCCTTTTCCCTACAAGACATAACATATGATAGACCTTAAACTCTGACTGATACATGTGATACGAAAACATGTCAATAAATTATAATACATCCTATCCTAACAACAGTATGAAAAGGTACAATATAATTTATATTTATACAGGTAAATCCAGATCCAATCATACCAGGAGGCAAACAAAAGCGTATTTAAACAATATATTTGGCTTACCATGTAGCTTCAGCATAAGAGAGTCCTTGCCACTTGACCAAATATTCTGGCCCTACATCACCCAAACTATCTTTGATGAGCCTCTCTGCTATCACCCTCTCCACCTGAGTATGCATTATGAAGACCCATCACAAAAGGTTTTTCATGGGAGTGTAACGTTAAATGGTAAATAGACCCAAAAATATGGTGGTACTGAGAAACAACCTGACTGTTTTGCTTGATGATATCCAGGTCCATTTCCTTGCTGACATCATTTACTTCAATCTAGCACATGTGACGGTGAAAGATTACGAATGGAAAAAGACAATGAGGCATCAACGATGAATAGAGTGACATGATCTCACATACACATCACACACACACTGAAGCACACAGCCCCCTCGCATACATGCTTACTTATTTCAAATTATAGTTATGAATGTCTTTACAACAATAATCATCACATTACCTCCTCTCGTGACACCAAGTTTCGATACTTCACATCTTCCATCACTTTTTTGGTATAATTCAAAACCTTCTTAAAACCACTGAGCTGAAAATCACAGAGAATGTAAGTTTCCTACTGCAACAAGTTGAAACATAAAAAGATATTTTTTAAATCTATAGTACTTCTGTAAACATAAGATTTATCAAAACTGTGTGCCATTATAAGCCAACTGACATTTCACGGAGAAAATTGCTTACATTCTGCAACTCAGAAAAAGATTTCCATTGACAGTGTAAATGTGATTGGCCTTTCCATTTTATTAAGAACTCCATCTCGTTCCAATCTGTTTCTGAGTCAAACAAATAGCTCAATAGAACAGGATCAGTTGATTTATTGTTTCTGAAAGCTTCTTCGGCTGTGCCTTTCCTTTGATGCCACAATACCCGCTCGATCGCATCCCCATCTTCTTCTTCGATCTCTTCCTTCTTGAAAAAAGGAAATAGCAAACAACTCAATACCATTAAGAGCTTAATTATATATAGAAAGGCTAAAACGATGTTTATGCACACAAGTCTAAAAGTATAACAGGAACACAAAATCTACTGGTGAAAATCTGAGAGACGACACAATGTAGATGAACTTCCCTCCCTCCATGGAAGATTCATGGCATGCAAAAAATTAGCCAATAGCTAATAGATTCCTAAAACAAGCATCTGATACTAAAGAAACCAGAATCATAGAACCCATCGACATAATTCATAAAACAAGGAGCATGAATGAGCTAATGAGGATAAACCACACAACTCAGTAGATCCAAGCATACAAAAATAAATTACATAGCCTGCTAAGCTCATTCATTTGGAAATGTGAGATTAAAATTTCTGAAAGTTTAAAGCACCATAAAATCATTGAGAATGAAGAGGGAAAAAAAATAAGAGACTGATGCAAATTTCAATCACACTCATATGCCAGAGCCAAAATAAGAATCCACCGAAATAGACAAACCTTTTGGTTCTTTTTTTGGCCATCATCAAGATCTTCACTTCCATCACTCTCAACATATGATACTTTCCGCACTGAACGACCAGAAGTTCGCAGTTCATTGTTCCTACCAGAAACCTTAATAGAAGCAGACCGACCGCCATTTTTCCTGTGAACAGGTACACCTCTTCTTCTATTTCTAAAATCCTCATCACTACCATTTTCCGAGTTGTCAGCAGAAGTTTCTTCTTCATCTTCCTCAGAAAAGGTTCTAGCTTTCTTTCGCCGAGTTGACGATGCTACTGATTTAGGTTCCTTGGTAGACTTTAAATTACGACCACCCTTACTTGATTGTTTGGCCCTATTTCTCTTAAGGTAGACATCATCATCATCGTCATCATCATCATCATCATCATCTGAGATATCCAAGTCATCATCATCAACATTATCCTCCTCATCAGATTCTTCACCACCCCAATTTTCATATTTATTCTGCACCCATGGATAGAAAAACTAAACCAGTTAAGTTCACATTGAACATAATGGAACAGAACCTTCCACTCAAGATCACACCAGTACTGCATGGGTATGCGAGTTACACAGAATTTGTTATTTCATGCAACAGTTTATGGTGCATACGTGACTGTTAATCATAAATATGAACATGATGTATGAAACTAATCAATATACCACAAATTAAAGAATATGCGTAACTCACTAAAAATTTAATTGATTGCTGTGGCCAAAAGCATCATATTCCATAGATTCAGAGATATCACAATATTTCACTCACACATTTTAATTCGGGTTGCTTGATACGGAAATTAGATATCACGTTTTACATTAAAAAATAAAGAAAACATCAATCATCGTACACAAAGTTAGGTAAGTAGAGCATATGTCTCTTAACATGTAAAGACGCGATTTCTCACACCAACCTAGCACTATTTTCTGTCTCATTTGCATTTACGTAGGTATTCCTCTCTATTATCTTCATATTGTAATTGTATTCTACTTATAGAGAATACTCCTCACCAGGAGCATATTTATCAACTAAATCACAGAGAATAAAAGCAACAACAAAACATTGCTGAAATATCAAGTTCAGGATTCCCTTATTAGCTCCATAAATCAGCAAAAGTCTAATCTGGATCAGTTTAACAAACAAAAATACTCGGTTTGTTTTTTTTTAAACTTATATCCACACTCTTGCATCCCAATTGCAAATTCATTATCTGACATGTTCTAAATTAACAAGGAGTCATCTCTTAAACTTAAGGTTGAGTGGCCCACATGATCTAAGACTTCACTTTCCAAGGTGCACCAGGATATACATTGGTAATGCACCTCCGATAGCAGTTTCTCAATGCTAAAACATCTACATCTTCAAAAAAAACATCATATAAGCAGAAAGTAATATATATTATCGCTCTAAATAACAACAGACCACAAGGACACCACTTTGTGTCAAAACTCATTCATGGAACAGCAATACACATACACTAATCATCACAGTCCGAACGCGTGTACATCTAGAAAGAATTTGCCGTAGCAACTATTCATTGACTACAGCAGAGAGTCGTAGGACAACCTTGATTACTCTGTGCCCAGTTGTCGCCCCATAATCGGGATCAAAGTCGGCATCATCAGGGTCATCTTCTGCAAGCACAAAAACATGTCAATGCTGACACAAGACCACATTATAGACTAAAAGCCATGTCAGACCATAATTCATGAGGTGTGAAAGAATTGGACTGACCAGACAAAATTGAAGGGAATAAAACAACACTTACCATCTTCACCATCATCGTCTTCTTCAAAATCGCCATCTTCATCACTGAATTTGTTGGCTTTCAACGCCTTTGATTTCCTAGATATACTGCTGGGAGCAGCAGACCGAGGAGGTGGCTTCGAACTGTACCCACTTGGGTGATTCTTTGTTCTGTAATGATTGAGAGGCTCACCCTGGTCATCACCATCCTGCTCGTAATACTCATCAGACAACATCTCATCAGCAGGAACATGCTGTTGTCTCTTTCCAGACACTTTTTTATATGTTTTATCGTGATTCTCAGGTTCCATCGTGTCCTCTACTCCATCAGACTCCTCCTCCACTTCAGACCCTTTATATTCTGACCCACTATTAGACTCCTCTCCGGACTCTGATGCTCCACGGGACGTCATTGTAGTTTGGGAATCCTTCCAAAAAGTTGAACCCCACTTTCCCCCAGAAGTTGTTTCCCTCAAAGAATGTTGTGTATTTCCTAACCTGATATTATTGTTACTATCTTCTCCAGCATTATGACCATGTGTAGGCTCTGCCATTTCCTCATTGTTGCACATATCATTCTCATTTAGTCTACTGTTATTCATGGTCGGCTGATGCGAATGACTCCTCTCACTCAAACCAATCTGTTCTACTGCCCCATCCGAAAAGTTCCGAAAAAAAGCCATGCAATATTCTTCACATGGAACTGTTTGCAGAGTCCCAAAATATGAAAGGAACCAACCAAGTGAAGGACAAACAAGTGTGTATTATCTCCTAAACCCTCAGAAAGCCTCTGCTGTACACGTCAAAATCTACATCACGTAGTAAATTAGACAGCCAAATTTAGAAAGTATACAAACGGTTCACAGTTTTGAAATTATTAAGTAAGACATTAATGTAGACAATTTAACAAATTTTACAGCAAACTATATGGATCGGTCACTTAACACTCATAATCCGTTCAAAATACTAGAGGAAAGCCATTTTTTTTTTTGAAAGCACAATCAGTTTCAAAAAAACCCTAAATCCATATCGGAGAAAACCCTAATTTGAACTGAGAATGGCATACGAGTTGGAGCATAGGCTGATTGTCAATTTCATTTCAAGGAACTAACCTTTCGGCACACAAAATTAAAGCGAGGGAAAAAATCACGCAATTCGGTCAAGGGTATTTTCGTAAATCGGGTGGGGCGGCGTCTTAACTCCCGATACACCGGAGGACTGGCTATGTGCTACCACACTAAAGCCGGCGGCGGCGGGAAAAGGTTTGTGTTTCAAAAACGATACCGTTCGGCACGCTTCGAACAAAAACTTGGGTCCGAGGTTCGAAAACGTGATATTGCCTCCCGGATTCAAAGCTGGTTGAGGATAGCGAAATCGACGAATCGGAGAATCGGATTGGATTGATTCAACCAGTGTTGCTGTCCGATGATGCCCAGGAAAAAAAGACCAAAAAAAAAAAAAAAAAAAAAGTTTTTAGAGAGAGAAAATCTCGAAAGGTTGGGCGTATAAGGTATATGTGCGTATTTTCGGGTTTGTTTCTAGAGAGAGAGAGAGAGAGAGAGATAATCAGAGGCGAAATTTGGATTTGTGAGAGGTTATTTTTCTTTGGGCCAGGCCGCTGATATATAGATACAGTCACGTACATACAGATGGGTTAAATAAATTGGGGATTTTGTAATGTAGGGGTAGTTTTGTCATTTTCTAAAATTGATGTACCATTATTAATTCACGAAGTACTACTTTGATTAGTGGACGGTAATTTTTTAATCGTGTGAGTCATGCTAACACGCTTTAGCGTCACGGAAACAACGTTTATTCAGTGAAAAGGTTGAAAATTTAAAGTCCAATAAATTTGTGACATGTTCGAAGATTAAGGAAATATTGTGCCATTAATGGAAAAATCTATGGAGGGGGGTCTTTTGAAATTTCTTGGTTCTATTTGGTGTTAAATTTGAGAGGAATTTATTTTGGATGATTGAATCGAGAATATGTGGCAAATAAGAATGCTATTAAATGTATGTGAAAAAATGTATGATCGATTTCGGAACTTTATTTCAAATATTAAATATCTTTTATATTGTTGTAATCTAAGTAGCACGGAAACTTCAATTTCTTAACATTTCTGCGTTTCGGAGACGTTTCGAGTCGATACTTCAAAGACACATGCCGGACACTTTATGGGCCATTTTGCAATTTCTTAAAAGTTTGAATAGCAAAACTTCAAATATTTTTATTGTTTTCCAAATTATTTATAATTGAATAGTTGATAGTAAAAATTATTTTGAATACGTTTGTATACAAATATATAAAAAAATATATATATATATATATATATAAATAAAAACTTATATATGACTATATAGAATATTTATAAGTATATCTCTATATTTTTAATATTTACACGTTTTCCCTAGTTCTCGTATCCCCCTTTCCGGAATATGCCGTTTCTCAGTATCCGTTTCCCCATATCGTCGTTTCCGTGTCAGTGCTACATAGATTATAATTAATGAAAACATTTTTTACTTGCTACCAGTGTTGTTATTTGCGACGTATAACTTCAAAAGAATAAAAATGGGGCATAATTTGTTGTAGTCATTACAAGAATTTGGTTTTTTTTTTGCCTTGAGACAAATTTGTTCTCTCCAAGTACTTTTAGTTTGTGGCCATTATTTTCAAAATACAACGACTAAACAGATCCAGAGAAGTAGAACAAGAGATTATGAATCATAACAAACTAGATGCATTTTACTAAACACGAAAAAATGAAGTCTTAGGGCATCTCCTGTCGATAGGGGGCGGCTCCCCCGGGGCTCCCCCGATCCCGACCCCGACCCTGACCCCAACTCATTTCTCGTTCAACCGATCTATCTCTTTCTTCCATTTTTTCCATCACCACTCTCACCATATAATAATAATAATAATAATAATAATAATAATAATAATAATAATAATAATAATAATAATAATAATAATAATAATAATAACAATAATAACAATAATAACAATAACAATAATAATAATAATAATAATAATAATAATAATAATAATAATAATAATAATAATAATAATAATAATAATAATAAGAATAATAATAATAATAATAATAATAATAATAATAATAATAATAATAATAATAATAATAATAATAATAATAATAATAATAATAATAATAATAATAATAATAAATAAAGTAAAATAAATAAATAAAATAAATAAAGAAGAAAAAAAAGAAAAAAAAAAGAAATAACTAAAATAAATGAAAATAAATAAAGAAAAGATAGAAAGAAACAAAAGAAAAAAAAATAAAAAGGAAAATGGCTAATGTGGAAAGAGAAGGAAAAAGAGAAAAAAAATGCAGCAAAACGTGAGAATTCACGAGGGAGAGGCGCGTGAGACCCCATGGCTTATGTCTGGGCTCAATTCACCCCCCAGCCACCCCAACCCCCCACCCCAGCCCTACCCCCTACTCACTAAACATCTCAGCCCGACCCCACCCCCACCCCTTCCCCATTCCACAAGAGATGATCTTAAATATAGCAACGGTATACCATAAAACACATTAGGTGTTGAGTCAGTGAAATTCCTAGAACTTGGGGCATATTTATAATTTTTAGGAGTTATGTGCAACGGATACAACTCTTAGGAAATTGAATCGGTTCGAGCAGGCACCTTTTGGATGACAAATGTTTCTACTCATGTGACATCCCCGTTGCCAATTCGCATCCAATTAGCTAATTTATTCTATTAATTTTGAAATAAATTGAATTAAATAAAAAAATTGATCCAAAATTAGCCCAATTTTAAGCAAACACGACACACGACACAGGGCCAGAGTGATCGGACGATAGTTGCGCGCCTGTGTCTTTTACTACTTGCTCACACTTGGCACGGATTTGAGCATGCTCAATCAACTAGGGGTTATACCTTAGTTAACTCACTAGCAATATTTACGGGTAGGTTAATTTTCCAACGCAAAATAAGTTGCTTTATTTTTTTAGGTTTGTTTGAAATAGTTTACTTTGTGCATCAATTTCTCATTCTTCCTATATCGAATTTTGGGTTCTTATTTTTTGTTTTTTTTTATTACATTGAGAAATAAAATTAAATTTATTTGAAATTTGATATCATCTAAAACAACCAAATCATGCTAAAGGGTATTGGAAAACAATTGTGCATATTAACTGTGAACTTACGAGAACTATAACATCAAAATTGTGAACATTAACGACGAACTCTCGAAATTGGCTAAGAATTGATTGTGAATTTATACAAAGCCGGTTGAAATTATTAGAATGAACTTTTGAACATTGTATTAAAATTTCTTTAAATTGAGTGGTTTGATAAAACATGACATTAAGCTTGTGGATATTGATAACACGACCGTAAAAATTTGTAGCGCACTTTAGCATATTAAGTATTTTTATAAAATATGACAGTGAACTTTTGAAAATTTAACATAAAACTTTAAAAATTTGATATGAATTTGTGAAAATTAATAGCAAACTTCTGAAAATTTGTAGTGAATATCGATAGACTAAGGTCACACGCCTCAATTGTTCACGCAATGCGCATGCATCGTTAACAAACACACCGAAATAATCTTACGGAATTCTAACTAATAAAAACGCTTGATTATTATTTTTGTAAGATGGATGAAGAAGTAACTTTTATCATAAAAAGAAAGGATAAATTACGCATACACCTCGAAAGTATGCTAAAATAACTTTAAGGTCCCTGTAGTATCAAAAAATACAATGACCTCCTGAAACATTTTTAGAAACCCTAACAAAATAATGTATTGTATACGTTATTCCGCTAGAGTTCTAACAAACTATTTAGTTTCAGGAAGTGCAGGAAACAACATAGAATTAGGGGGTGGTGACATGGCTCCCCCACAATTTCTCCAATCCTTATTGTTTTATATAAAATTTATACTTTTTCGTTTAAAGTAGCACTAACAGCCCCGCGAAAAATAAATATAGTGCATATTAGTCCTGAGGACATGAAATCTTGGTTCCCGTTATTGTTTCAGGGGTGTTACTATAATTACCAATATCACATGGACATTAAAGTTATTATAGCATACCCCAAGGATGTAAGTGTAATTTACCCTAAAAAAAAGTGTACATATTCCCCAAAATAGAGGTGAGGTGATCTAGAATACATATTGAGGGGCGTTTCTGTAATTGGTGATATTTCGAGGTGCGAAAGTGGAATATATGCATTCCTCCTCTTCCACGTGTGACGTGTTTAAGCTGTTACCGTTAATTTATTTATTTATTTATAATTTAATATTCGCATCTCCTTCGCAATTACCGAACAGATTACACACAACGCACTGAATCAGTTTCTCCTCTTCTTCTTCTTCTTTTTCTTCTTCTTCACCGAGCTGAAATCGATTCCGCCTGCTTCACAAAAATGGAGTCGTGTCCGTACAATTTCCCCTCACTGAGGATAATCTCAACTCTGAAGAATCCTCTTCTACAGCGCAGAAATAAAATCACCTCTAATTTCAGTACGCTAACTCGTAGCGCTAGATGCTGCAGTATTACCAGTACGGCGGCGGAGCTCTCGACGGCGGAAGAAACCACTGCTTTCTCTTACAATAAGTTCGTCCGCTTCGCTTTGGAAGAAACCAGAAAGCACACACAGTTAATTCCTTCTCCATTACAGGTGTGAAAACAATTAATTATTAATTCGCTTTTTGAAAGATCAGATTTTTAGGGTTCGCTTGATTCTATGAACTTTGGGAGTTGTGCCTTTTGGTTTTCAGATCTGCAGTTTGAACTCTGCCAGCTGTGAAGTTGCCATTTCTAGTAGCGTTTTTTCAAAGAGAATTATTTATTCATTTATTGATTATTATATGAAGGGTGGTGATATACGCAGGCCAAATTAAACATTCAGGCACTTTTTTACCATGATTTTTTACCTTTTTACCATAACTATTTACCTTTTGTACTATTCCTACCCAATTAAAAATAAAAAAAAAAAAAAAAAAAATTAAATTTTTGTGCTCGTGCAAAAACACACGAGCATTTCAACAGTGCTCATCTGATTTCACACGAGCACTGTTGAAATGCTCGCATGTTTTTGCACGAGCATCTTATAAATAAAAAAAAAAAAAAAAAAAACTAATAATAATCTGCTCGTGTAAAAACACACGAGCGGTTGCAAACTGCTCGTGTGATTTCACACGAGCACTTTGCAACCACTCGTGTGTTTTTACACGAGCAATTAAAAAAAATAAAAAAAAATAATAAAAATGCCTGCTCGTGTGGATTTACACGAGCACAGTGGATGCGCTCGTGTAAATTCACACGAGCAGGCCAACGTGTGATTTTTTTCGTTTTTTTTTTCCGGATTCGTAATCTACATAACAAGAGGATCGTAAAAACGTAAAAATTACCTCCGATCTGTTGACGATTTGCACGGGCTTTGCGAAAGAAAATCGAAAGGTTGAGAGAGTTTTGAGTTTTTTTACTTTTTGTTTTTTGAAAAATGGTAAAAAATGTGCCTGAATGTTTAATTTTGGCCTGCACAAATCATTTCAGTTATATGAATATCTATAGGAAATTGAGTTAATTGCGATTGTTTTAGCCACTGTATGATTGCATAAGAAGGATGCACTGATCTTTTTGTTCAGGACAAGTATAGTTGCTTGGCTGCCATGGATGGGAAAACAGAGCTCCAAATGCACTCTTTCGAAACACCGAAAATTAGACTGCTTCGGAGTTTGTCCGTTGAAGGGAGTGATGGAATGCAGGTTCGTTCGTTTACGCACGCCTATAAACGTAAAGATATTACTAGCTTACTTGCAGGGAAATCGAAAGTGTATATATGTACTGCTGCCATTATTAAATTATTGGAAAATAAGTTGCTTAGGTGCTGTTTTGCAGGTATTGGATTTTGCCATCTTCCCAAGAGCAGAGTTCGATCTTCCGATTTTTTGTGCCAACTTTTTCACCACTGCTGTCATGAATATAATTGTACTGTAAGCAATCTTATTTACCTTCTACTTAGTGGAGTAATAGATGAATTGCATTTAACCTTTCTTTGCGGGCGTAAATTAAAAAGATAATCACTTCATTAATGGTTCTGAAATCGAAAATGTATCTGCAAAATGCACCCGTATTGATTTTTTTCGTTACTCGTGAGAATATGACTTTGTGGTCTTCTTTCTTTTGTTTCCTTATTTTTAAATGTTTTAGTATTTAGTTATATTGTGAAAAAATGTTGAATCATTTACGATGGAGTTATGTTAGACAAAAGATATATAGATAACCGCTACCGTATTCGAGTCTTGGTAAAATTATTTTTTTGTTTATTTTCATGAAATATATTTCTTCAAAGGATGTAGCAATTCCAGTAATAGCATTATAACTCAGACGAAATTCTCAAATTGCATGTATTTCTGTAAATACAACTGACTAAACTACTGGCCAAGCACACAAAGTCAACATAAGATTAATTATCTCCCGTCTCGAAGTTTTCTTCTCATTTCTATAGTCTGTGCAATTACTACCAGACTAGTTAAGTTTCATTAAACTTTTACTTCAGTTGTCTGAGCTTGAATAATTTTACAAGTCCCCGAAGATTCGTCTGATGTGTTGACCTAATTTCGATTGAGTGATTGTTCTTCGTTTGGCATATTGATCTGTGCTCTGTAGTTTCCCTATAGACCAAATCGTTCGTGCAGATAATTGATACTTATTAATTTTATTTATTCATCAAGTTTTTTCACACTTTCAGGGACCTCAACCCATTACATGATGTAATGATCCAACAAGATTACAAGGAAAAGTACTACAAACAATTGATTCGTCTCGGAATTAAGTACGCCGAGGTGGACACTATTTATGATATTCTTGCATTATTTATCTTGTAAGACATCTAAAATGAGATACGATGATTTAACACAGATTTTGTGCAGCTTTTGCCGTGGGGAGGAAAACTTACCAGCGAATCGATAAAGTTTTTCTCACCAATCGTAATATGGACTAAGTTTCCTTCAAGCGAACAGAAACACGAAATTCTATATTCTGCTTTCATGGATTATCTCAAGGTACATATGATGTTCTACTGCAGCATGGATAATACACGTATTTAGGTTAGATATATCGTAAAAAAATTAATTAAATCTTTTTTTTGACAGTCATGGCTTAAGCTGATGGATGAGGCTTCAGCGGAAACTGATGTTTCTCGGATTACGTTAAATCTCGAATCACAGCATAAGTATCTCACATGGAGAGCAGAAAAGGTAGATGCATGCACCGCCTCTTTATTCTTTACATATCTAAGTTGACAAACCATTTTTCTTTGATTTTTTTAATAAATAAATCTTGGAAATTTCTAATAAAAAAAATGTGAAAATCAGGATCCGGGCCATCAAGTTCTGAGAAGATTAGTCGGGGAGACTCGTGCAAAGGTACCAATATCATATATCGAAGCATCAAAGATTCTTCAGACAGACAATTAATAATTTACTGTATTATATTTTAATTGATCTGTAGGAAATAATCAAGAGTTTTCTGTTCAATGGAGTTGATGAACTGGGAACCAAGACATTCACCGATTACTTCCAAGAGTATAAGTGCGATGACGGGACTGTCAATCAAAAGCGAAGTATGATCGGAAAATCATTCGAAAGTCGGCCATGGAATACAAGAGGGGAATTCATCGGTAACAATTTACGATAAAACATGTGCACTTTTATATCACATTTTCAATTTCCTCGAAGTTTCGAGCAGTTCTGTCTACATTATATATACTTTGTGCATATCGCCTTGTGTTGTACTTATTCATTAAACTGTTGTAGGCTGATGATGTAACTTATGGAAGCGTGTAACCTCTGCTACAAATTTTGTATGATTAATAATTATAGTAAAAATCATATGGTTTTTTTTTATTTTTTTTTATTTAAACAGAATCATTTGGTTTCTTATCGTGTGAATTCTTGAAGGTGCATTTACGTAAAAAAAAAACTTTAGAAATATGTAACCAATAAAAATTATTGTTGTGTAGCATATGTATGTGTGTGTATATATATATATATATATATATATATATATATATATATATATATATATATATATATATATATATATATATATATATATATATATATACAGTATAAAGTGTTTAAGAAAAATAAATAAGAAATTGTACAGATCCATAAAATATTAGAGCTTTGCAAAAACTGGTAGGTTATTGGAAATGATGTACTATATGAAAAGCAGAGTTTCTGAAAACAGGTAGAAAATGCAGAACCTGAGCCATATTTGAAGAAGCCAACAACTATATATATATATGACTATACATACAACAAAACTCTATAAACATGTATAAATTTATTTTCTGAAGCTTTCCAAGATTCTTGATTTTCTGATTTTGTTTCTGCTATCATCTGTACACTGTGATGAACTGCATGCATTTCTTTACCATAAATAATGTATCAATTCCCCAACCTTAACTCACCTTTCTCTGGAACTGTTAACTATAGTTGGATTTGCTGATGTCATTGTTTTATTTTATGACATACTAAATAAATTAAACATGAAACAAATATCAACAATCAAGTCCGTAGAAATTTGTTTTAGAACAATATTCAGTCTTCCAACTGAAAAAAATATATTTTTGATTAAACTTATTTTGCATTCCAAGATGTTTAATAAATTGAAACCGGTGACATGTATTTCCTTTCATATACTTTGAAATCCACAAATAAATAATACTTCCTCCATTTCCATTTCAAATTAAGTGCCTGTGTAAGGTTCGAGCTCATGTGTTAGATAAAAATAATAAATATCCAAATAGGGAAAATATACAATATGTATTTTCTACTAATTCCCTCTTCATTGATTTTTTTTTTGGTGAAAATTAATGTTTCAAATAATTAATTATGAGTTGGAAGTAGGGGTGTAAATGAGACGAGCCGGCTCGCGAGCTTCCCAAGCTTGCTCGAAAAAAGCTCGTACTCGAGCTCGAGCTCACGAGCCCGAGCTTTTCGACGAGTCGAGCTCGTACTCGAGCTCGAGCTCACGAGCCCGAGCTTTTCGACGAGTCGAGCTCGAGCTTCATTTCAGTTGTTCGACAGCTCGCGAGCTTTACCTTTTCTCTATATATTTTCAATACATATTAATAATATATAATAATGGATATTATTAATAATAAATAAAAAAAGAATAATATTACTTTTTAATTGAAAAAATAAATTTAATGGATGGATTTTTGGTTGTGCCGAGCTCGAGCTCGAGCTCGGACTCGTTTCGTATACGAGCTCGAGCTCCTTAGAAACACAAAGAGCTCGAGCTCGAGCTAAAACTTATAGACTCCTCGAGCTCGAGCTCGAGCTCGAGCTCGGCTCGTTTACACCCCTAGTTGTAAGCACAAAATAGAAAAAAACAAATTAATTATTAAAATAATAAAAAGTGACAATTAATTTGGAACAATTTTCTTTTCTTCGAAGGAATGGTTAATTTGAACATAGAGTATTAAAGTAGGTGATGCCAAACTTCTCTCTACCAATGTTGTTCCAGAAATTAAAGAAAACTACAGTTAAACATCTATAAATTAATACAGTCGGAACTAATGAAATTTTATTAATTTAGTGAAATATTAAATTATCTGAATTAATAATTTAGTACGTTTTTATCGAGTCGGGACCAAAATAAATTATATTTTAAGCGAGACTATTAATTTATCGAGATTCTACTGTAGTAACTTGTAACTAATCAGCGTAAACATGCTCTTCAATTTATTATTATTATTATTATTATTATTATTATTATTATTATTATTATTATTATTATTATAATAATTATTATTATTATTATTATTATTATTATTATTATTATTATTATTATTATTATTATTAGGTAAAAAGGAGGTGGGTGAAGAAGATATTGAGATGGGTATGAAATCTTGGAATTGTGAATAAAGTGAGGTTTGGAATTTGGATTGTTGTTTGAGGCGGCCCTTCATTTTCTAAGGGGTGAAGATAATAATTCTCAATTTAAAGGTCTGTTTGGCTGTGCTGCAGAAACACAACAAAAAGCAGTGTTTGGAGTTATGTGTTAAGAGTTTCTTGCAATCCCCCCCACTTACATGCACTATGGCACAAATCTTATGCCTCTTTTTTTGGCTTTGTTACTTCATATTTGGAACTTAGTCATTTTTTTGAGAATATTTTAGACTTTATTCACCCCTTCATTCCCCATCCAACTTATGTCATGACAAAATTAAAAAAAAATTAAAAAAAATAATTAAAAAAAAATAAAGAAAAAAATTGATGCTCCAAGTTCGATAAGGTAAACTAAACATGGACGTTAAGATAGTTTATTCGTTCTATAAGCTATGCAGATTGGTTCGAGCTCGAGCTCTAGTGATATGAACAAAAAATCAAGCTACTCAAGTTCAATTAGTGTTCGGCTCGATTAATATTCATTCCGTCTCGTCTCAATTGATTATATCGAATCAAACTCAAACACCACTTTGAGAGCTCAATAATATTGAAACAAGTTTGTACAAACATTCAACTCGACTAGATTCGTTGCACAGCTATCTAGTGTCTCATCAAAGTCGTGTTTGAACTTGTTTTCCTTTTGCCCTTTTGGCCTAAAATGTCAATTGTGGATGTTTGAAATAATTTGTACTGTTAACATTTTTATTTTTAATATTAATTATTAATCAATTGAATTATTAAATAATACATAACAAATTTTAGAAAATTATATGAACTATGTGCAAATGCACGTCATTCACTATTTTCCAAATAAATGGACTATTAATGAAGTTAGATAAAATAGTACAGTTAAATCTCTATAAATTAATACAGTCGGCACCAGCAAAATTCTATTAATTTAGCGAAATATTAAATTATCGAACTAATAATTGCATACGTTTTTATCGAATGGGGTCCAAAAGAAATTATTTATAATTTAATATTCGCATCGCCTCAAACTCAAACACCACTTTAAGAGCTTAACAAATATTGAAACAAGTGTGTACAAACATTTAGCTCGACTTGGTTCGTTAGACAACTATCTAATGTCCCGTGAAAGTCGTGTTGAACTTGTTTCCCTTTTGCCCTTTTGGCTTAAAATGTCAATTGTGGATGTTTGAAATAATTTGTACCGGTAACATTTTTATTTTTAATATTAATTATTAATCAATTGAATTGTTAAATTATACATAACACATTTAAGAAAATTATATGAACTATGTGCAAATGCATGTCATTCACTATTTTCCAAATAAATGGACTATTACTTAAGTTAGATAAAATAGTACATCGGGACCAGCAAATTCTATTAATTTAACGAAATATTAAATTATCGAACTAATAATTGCATACGTTTTTATCGAGTGGAGTCCAAAATAAATTATTACTTAAACGAGATTATTAATTTATCGAGATTCCACCGTATATTCAACTTTAATACAGTAAAGTAAAAATGCTCTAAATATTTTGATTTTATTTAAATTTCAACTTCATACAAGTCCTAGGAAAACAATTCCAAATTGCACATTGTTTCTCATTTTTTTTCCCCAACTGCACTTCCCAAGTCCAAAATTGTGTTCACAAAGACTTTAGACTGTGTTTGCTTGTTGACAAAATGAAAAATATCTTCAACGAATATATAAACTAGAACCCGACAAATTAATACATAATAAATTAATAAATTCGTTTAAATAATAATTTTTTCTGATCCCAACTCGGTAAAAATGTACCGAATTATTAGTTCGGCAATTTAATTAAACCTTCAAATACCATTATAAATAAATTTTTTTTAATAGATTTACACAACTCAAAAAACAATTTATTTTTCTCATTGTATTTTCAAATATAATATAATAATAATTTTTAATGAAGTCAAAGGTCAACAAAAGGCGGGGACACTTGTTTCTTCCTCCCCTAAAACAGAACATATAAAAACAGTTTAGCTGACCGCCGGAGGATAAAACCAAGCCACCTAAATTCCTCGTAACTCTGCTCTTCACATTCATACATTCCGGTCAAGAAAATAAATAAACACATAGAAATCACCGCTCCAAAAAAAATTATTATTATTATTTTAATCTTCTTGAATAACCGATATAGAGGAATTTCCTCGGCCCAAGTAATTCCGCCCTTGAAAACAAGCGCGTCACCGTCAAAAAATGTTTTCCTCCCCATCTGAGGAGATAATGACAAGTGATGATGTCCTCGAACAACAAATTTTGAAGACAAAGGCCCCTCTTTTAACTTTTTTTTAGGGGCAGAATGTATAGTACAAATTTTGGCTCTTGTTTTTCGTGTAAATCCATATTCCCCCTCTCTCTCTCTCTCTCTCTCTCTCTTCAGGCAAAACGACACCTTCACCAGTTTGCGACAAGAAATCGCCCTAGCCCTCAACGGTGACTACTCTTTCTATCTATCTTTCTCTCTCTAACCCTTCAATTTGAACCTAACCCTCTCTCTCTCTTTCTCTCTCTCTCTCTCTCTCTCTCTCTCTCTCTCTCTCTCTCTGTTCTGTAAGAAAACTAAGAGAAAAAATTGATCTTGCTTGGGGCTTTTACTGGGTTCTTGATGAATTGAGAAACCCTGGAAGGAATTTTGAATTCTCGGCGTGGTTAATGAGTTCTTGTTATTTAGTTTGATTCTTCGTTTCGGGGTAAATCGGTAATTAATTTGTAGTTGATTTTCGAAAAAAGGGAGTCTTTTGGGTATCTGTTTGTGGAATTTTGTGAAATGTTTCAAGAAGACGGATCATCATCAATAACATCATCGCCACTCCAAATGCTCCCCATGATGTCACTCTCTCCCGGCATGACGTCACCGTACCCATGGCTTAACGAGCTCAAACCCGAAGAGAGGGGGTTATGCCTGATCCACCTCCTGGTCACGTGCGCGAACCACGTGGCGTCGGGCAGTCTCGAGAACGCGAACATCGCCCTCGACCAAATCTCCCACCTCGCCTCGTCGGAAGGCGACACCATGCAGAGGATCGCGTCGTACTTCTCCGAGGCGCTCGCGGACAGAATCCTAAGAACGTGGCCCGGTGTCTACAAGGCCTTCCACTCCACGAGAATCCCGGATTTGGCGGAGGAAACCCTTGTTCGAAAAATGTTCTTCGATTTCTTGCTGTTTACTAAAGTGGCCTTTGTGATTAGCAACCAAGTTATTGTGGAAGCCATGGAAGGAGAGAGGATTGTCCACGTCATCGATTTAAACGCGTCCGAACCAGCGCAATGGTGCGCCCTGATCCGGGACTTGAGCGCCCGGCCCGAAGGCCCGCCACATTTACGGATAACGGGTATCCATCAACAGAAGGAGGTTCTAGAAAATATGGCTCATGTGTTGACCGAAGAAGCCGAGAAGTTGGATTTGCCGTTTCAGTTCAACCCTATTGTGACCAAATTGGAGAATCTTGATTTCGACAAATTGCGTGTCAAAACAGGGGAGGCGTTAGCTATTAGTTCGATTATGCAATTGCACACTCTCTTAGCTCCCGATAGTTCAATTAATAAGTCCCCGTCGACACCGATGAACAACGGTCTCAGCATTCATTTGCAAAGGGTTGCGCATATGAATCAAAGTACGTTGAGGGAGTTGCTAGAGAAGGACGTTTTGGTCAATGACTACAGCCCGAGTAACGACTCGGCTTCTTCGTCGAATATCGAGAGCTTTCTTGGTGCTTTGTGGGGTTTATCCCCAAAAGTTATGGTGGTGACGGAGCAAGATTCGGACCATAACGGTAAGAATTTGATGGAGAGATTATCGGAGGCTTTGTACTTTTACGCTGCGTTGTTCGATTGTCTGGAGTCGGCTCTGCCTAGGGTTTCGGTGGAGAGATTGAAGATGGAGAAGATGCTGTTGGGAGAGGAGATCAAGAATATTATTGCTTGTGAAGGGGTGGAGAGGAGAGAGAGGCACGAGAAGCTCGAGAAGTGGAGACGGAGGTTCGAGTTGTGTGGTTTTACTAATGTGCCCTTGAGCTATTACGGGATGTTGCAGGCGAATAGGTTGATGCAGAGCTGTAGTAATTCGGGCGACGGGTATAGGATTAGGGAGGAGAGTGGCAATGTCGTGATTTGTTGGCAAGATCGGCCGCTTTTTTCGGTGTCGGCTTGGAGAATTAGGAGGTGAAAATGTATCTTGGCTGATTTGATTTATTCACCTTGTAATTTGTTCATTCCTCAATTTTCTCTTCTTGTTTTTTTAGTTTTTGTAGAGGTGGATTTGATTCTGTTTGATGTAAAGATTTTTTTTTTTTTTTTTTTTTTTTTTTTTTGTTTTTTTTTCTGTGCAATTTGAGATGTTTGTTTTAGTTTTTTGATGTCTTATATTATGTTTCTCTGTCTGAATGGTTTCAGCCTTGGTTGATTGTTGAATGCGTTTGAGGATCAAAATTAGGGGTGGTGATTTACTCAATTTGGATCTAAAAGTAATCGGATTCAAAATCAACCTATATGAATTATGAGGTTGGATATTTGTACTTATATGATTCAAAATCGATAATACTCAGACTTTCACACTTACACATCTTCACGCTCACATCCACACACTCTAATACTTTTTCGACACATACGCTCTAACACATTTTTGACACGCACATAATACACACACTCCAGCACACTTTTCTCACATACATACACAATAGTCCAATACCTTTTTCACGCGCACACACACACATACACTCACACTTTTGACACGCATATACATATATAACACACACAACATGTAATTACATAATTGCCACTCAATAGATAATTACATAAATAATATTCAACATGTAATTACAATATTGTCACTCACCAAGTAATTATACCACTTCCACATAATAGTAGTTACCAGGGGCGCATCCAGGATGAAAAGTTAGTGGTGGTGGGTTACATTTTCGGGGTTCGGGGCGGCGCCTCGAAAAATTTTTTAGGTTCACAAATCATTCTAATAATGTACTGCATTTAATTATTTAAGAAGTTAAAACCACAATCCCATTTTATTTTTTAAAGGTATTCATAAAAAAATACATATTTATAAATTTTTAGTAAAAATAGTACTAGTTTTCACCATTTTATGTTATATTATTATATAAAATATAATATATCTATATATATATATATATATATATATATATATATATATATATATATATATACACACACACAAGTGTGTGTATATAATTTATATATGATTATGGTGACAAAATAAAATATTGAAGGGTTAAGAAACATATTTACAAAAAAATTGGGGGGGCAAGACTAATATTAAAAAAAAAATTAACTACAAAATATCTCCCCCCGCCTTGCCTCTTCATAGCTCCGCCACTGGTAGTTACGGAATTGCCTCACACTAAGTAATTGCAGAATTACCATTCACCAAGTAATTACAAAATACTACTTAACATCGTAATTAAAAACTTCCACTCAACAAGTAATATTAACAAAAAGTTGTCGTTCAACATTAATCAACAGAAGGTCACTCACCAAATAAATTTCACTCACCGAGTAATTATAGAACTGCCATTCAACAACAGTTACAAAACTACAACTCAACAAATAATTAAATAACTGATATTTAACAATAATTACAAAATTGGTACTCATCAAACAATTACAGCACGACCACTCAACAATAATTATGGAACTGCCATGCACCAAATAATGAGTCACAATTTGATTTCTCATAAGACAAAGTTTGAGTGCTTTCCATAAAATATCGACTTAAAGCTTTGATTTATTTTTTCAAAATAAACATTGTATAAACTATATGGTTAATTTTAAAATCATTTTAAAGACCTATTAATTATTATTTCACATAAAGGATTGATACTATCAATCAAATTAATTCGATTAATATATTTGCATCTCTAAAAAATATAATCAATACAACTGACATCTCAGCTCGTAAATTTTCATTTATTTGGGCCGAACTTTTTTTAATTGGGCCGAATTGTTTTTATTGGGCCGAAGTTAAGAGACAATAAATTTTTCCAAAATATAAGTTTTAGAAAAGGACAAATTGTTTTGAATATTAAATTCATATATTTTTTCCGGGAAAAGATAAATTATAGGATACCAAGGGCTTAATTTCATTCTGAACCCTTGAAATATATTATTTTTGTACTTTGCACCCTTAAAAACTTAATAGCACTTTGCACCCTAAAAACACAGTAAATCATTCACAATGCACCATAAATTGAATATTTAAAATTTAATGAGGGTAAATTTGATTTGTATTGGTTTTTTTATTTCTAGGGTACAAAATAACAAATTAAATTGTTAGTTTCTTCAACCTCCGACGTAAATTCGAGCGTACAAAATTAAAAAATAAAAATAAAAATAATATCAATGAATTACTGAAAAAAACTAACAGTTTCTTACAAAATAAATAAATCTTCTCACTAAATTATTCGATTGATAGATCTTTTATCTTATTAATAAAAGTAAGGTTGTTTCTGGTAAACCATAGGAAATTTTTTCCCGCTCATATGATACTAATAATTGTCATTTATTTATTTATATTTTTATTGTTTTATTTCATTTAATATAATCAAGTTTAATAAATCCATTAAGTATTCAAATTTTTTGACCCTAAATCTACGTATCTTATTAATAAGAGTAAGGTTGCTCCTGATAAACCCTAGGAATTTTTTTCCCCTCATTTGATAGTTATAATTGTCATTTATTTATTTAATTATTTATTTTTATTATTTTATTTCATTTAATATAATCAAAAGTTTAATACATTCATTAAGTATCCAATTTTTTTACCCCACATCTTCGTATTTTATTAATAAAAGTAAGGTTGCTCCTGGTAAACCCTATGAACTTTTTCCCACTCATTTAATAGTTATAATTGTCATTTATTTATTTTTATTATCTTATTTCATTTAATATAATCAAGTTTAATTAATCCTTAAATATCCAGATTTTTTGACCCCAAATCTACGTATGGCGTATAGTATTAATAAAAATAAGGTTGCTCCTGGTAAACCTTAGATTTTTTTTTTGCCCATATGATAGTTATAATTGTCATTTATTTATTTAATTAATTTTATTGTTTTATTATATTTAATATAACCAAGTCTAATAAATCCGTTAAGTATCCAGACTTTTTGGCTCAAAATCTATGTATCTTTTCCAACTAAAATTGTCATTTTACTTAATATTAATTTTATGAAAAAAATATTTAATTGTTTAGAAAAACATTTGGTTCTTATATTATTAATAAAAGTAAAGTTGTTCCTGATAAAATCTTGAGATTTAAAGGCTTCATTGATTTAAGTAAATTTACTGAGGCCTCTTATGGAGTTATGGGTGATAAAGTAGAAGATTCGTCACACTTCTACATTAACTGAGATAAGATAAATATGAAACCATATTACAACAAAAACATAAAATAAAATTAATAAATATTGTAAAAAACGTTTATGGATGGGGGATTATCGTCAATGCATAGAGCAAAACATCAAAAATAATTGAAACTTCAGTTTTGTCGTTTAAATTGAACTTTACTTTGTATTAATTTTATTTCAATTCCGTGCATCGCACGTGCCAAAAATCTAGTTATAATTAGTGAAAATATTTGGTAGAATTATTTGAAATAAAATATAATTTCCAAATAACTTCATAACAAAATATCCGGAGGATTTTTGTTATTTGTAAAATAAAGTGATTTTTTTTAAAAATATATTGATGAGATGTTTTTATATTTTTGCACTTTGTAGTTTCAAAAGGAATGATTGATAAAAAAAAGTTATCTTTATCAACTTTAATAAAATTAATTCGGGATAATGCATGATTTATTGTGTTGCGATGGTACAAACTACAAAGTGCTATTAAATTTTTCGATAGTGCAAAGTGCTATTTTAGTATTTATATCTCATATACATATAGACATTCAAATTCAAAATATTTGAAAAACATTTACCTATTTTTGAACCCATTTATATTGCTCAACAAATTTTAAAAGTATTATTATAATATGATTACAGTACTGACGATTGATATAATGTATTAAAAATCCACCATTCTCATCTAAAATAATAAACTTCATCTTTTTTATTTTTTTGACATTTTTTCTTAAATTATGCACGATATGATGTATATATAATACATTGGTGGTTATGCGTTCTCGTTTTTTAAGTCAAATTTTGACACGTGACATACACGCACATAATGACATAATAACATCGTTTTTACTCGAAACTATTTACTATACAAATCTGTATGCTTGGTGCTTTTCAATTGTTAAATAAAAAGACCATAAATACATGACAATTATACACATGACGATGCATTAAATTCGTTCCTATACGAGGTCTCAACCTCTTCACTAAAAAAATCAACACATTTCAAATTTCGATATTATCGGTGAGAAAAAACCTAAAGACACACTCATACACAATGTAAATTTCAAAAAAAAAAAAGCGAGAAAAAAATCCCATTAAATTCAAAATAATCAAATGACACTACCTTTTTTTCCTCTAAATATAAATATTACTCAACAAATTTAAAAATATAATTAAAATAATCACAAATATATTATTCACCAACATTTAAATGAATTCTCATATTAAGGTTGAAATAATTATAAATATTATTCGAAAAATTTAAAAGATTTCTTGTAGTAAACATTACAACAATCTATATTAATCGGTCAAAATCCATATCCTCCTAGTAAACTTCATCAAAAATATATTTTGTAATAAAATTACAATAGTCATAGATATCATTCACCAAAATTTAGAAGAATTATTATATCAAGGCTAAAATAATTATAGATACATATTATTCAAAATTTTGAAATATTTATTGTGATAAATATTACAAGAATCCATATTAACTGGTGAAAATTTAATGCTAATTAACATCATCTTTTTATGTTTTTTTTTTTTTTTTTAATATTATGAACGGTGGTTATGTGCTCTCATTTTTTCGGGTATTTTTTTGACACGTAACATACATGCAGATAATGCTATAATAACTTTGTTATCATACGAACCTCTTTACTATACAAATGTGTGTATTCGGTGCTTTCCAGTATTTAAATTAAAAGACCATAATACATGACAGCTATACATATGACGACGCATTAAATTCGTCCTAACCCAAGGTCTCAACCTCTTCACCCGAAAATTTCAACACATGTCAAAGTTCAATATTATCGGTGTAAGAAGGCAAAAAGACAATGAGTCATACACAATTCAAATTTCAAAAAGAAAAAGAGAAAAAAAAATCCTATTTAAATTAAAAAATATAGATGACATACATTTTCTTCCTCTAATCATAAATATTATTCACCAAATTTAAAATATATTTTGTAACAAAATTTTAATAATCATATAGATCATTCACCAAAATTTAAAATAACTTTTATATATATCAAGGTTAAAATAGTTATAAATATTATTTAATTTAAAACAAAAAAAAAATACTTGTAATAAACATTACAATAATTCATATCATAATCACATAGATCATTCACCAAAATTTTGAAAGAATTTATATATATATTAAGTTTAAAATAGCTATAAATATTATTTAATTTAAAACAAAAAAAGAATACTTGTAATAAACATTACAATAATTCATATCAATCGATCAAAATCCATGTCCTCATAATAAACTTCATCTTTTTATGTTTTCACATTTTTTTAAATCATGCACGATTCAATATGTAAACAATGGTGGTTATGTGCTCTCAGTTTTTCGGGTAAATTTTTTGACACGTGATATACATGCACATAATGACGTAATAACTTCGTTCTTATACGGGCCTCTTTACTATATAAACCTGTGTGCTCGGTGTTTTCCAGTTTTTAAATTAAAAGTCCATAATACATGACAACTATACAAATGACGATGCATGAAATTCGTCCTTATATGACGTCTCAACCTCTTCACCTGAAAATTTCAACACATGTCAAAGTTCGATATCATTGATGTGAAAAAAATGAAAAGACAATGAGTCATGCACAATTCAAATTTCAAAAAGAAAAAAAATCCTATTTAAATTCAAAATAATTAAATGAAATTACCTTTTCTTTCCGTAACCATAAATATTATTCACCAAATATAAAATATCTTTTGATAATAAAATTACAATAGTGATAGATATTACTCACCAAAATTTAAAAGAATTCTTATTATATTAAAGTTAAAACAATTATAAATATTATTCAATTTTTTTAAAGATACTTATAATAAAAATTACAACAATTCATATCAATCGGTCGAAATGCAAATCCTCCTAATAAACTTAATCTTTTTAAATCATGCACAATTCAATGTGTATACAATGGTGGTTATGTGCTTTCATTTTTTTCGGGTAAAATTTTTGACACGTGACATACATGCAAATAATGACATAATAAATTTGTTCTTATTTGTGCCTCTTTACTATACAAACCTGTGTGCTCGGTGCTTTCCAGTTTTTAAATTAAAAGACCATAATACATCACAGCTATACAGATGACGATGCATTAAATTCTTCCTTATCCGAGGTCTCAGCCTCTTCACCCGAAAATTTCAACACATGTCAAAGTTCGATACCATCGATGTGAAAAAAAGAAAAGACAATGAGTCATACATAATTCAAATTTCAAAAAAAAGAGAGAGAAAAAAAAATCCTATTTAAATTCATAATAATTAAATGGCATTACATTTTCTTACTGTAATCATAAATATTATTCACCAATTTGTAACAAAATTACAATAATCATAGATATCATTTACCAAAATTTAAAAAAATTAATTCATATATATATTATGCTTGAAATAGTTATAAATATTATTCAACTTTTTAAAAAGAATTTTAATAATAAACATTACAATAATTTATATCAATCAATCAAAATCCATATTCTCCTAATGAACTTCCTCTTTTTATGTTTTTACATTTTTTAAATCATGCACGATTCAATGTGTATACAACGGTGGTTATGTGCTCTCATTTTTTTCGGGTAATTTTTTTGACACGTGACATACATGCAGATAATAACATAATAACTTTGTTCTTATCCATACCTCGTTACTATACAAACCTGTGTGCTCGGTACTTTCCAATTTTTAAATTAAAAGACCATAATGCATGACAGCTATACAGATGACGATGCATTAAATTCGTCCTTATCCGAGGTCTCAACCTCCTCCACCTGAAAATTTCGACACATGTCAAAGTTCGATATCACCAATGTAAAAAAAAATGAAAAGACAACGAGTCAAACACAATTCAAATTTCAAAAAAAAAAAAAGGAGCAAAATCCTATTAAAATTCTTTACCTTTTCTTCCGGTAGTCATAAATATAATTCACCAAATTTAAAATACTTTTTGGTAATAAAATTACAATAGTCATAGATATTACTCACCAAAATTGAAAAGAAATCTTATAATAAGATTAAAATAATTATAAATATTATCCACAAATTTGAAAAAGAATTATTTCTTGTAATAAACATTACAAACAATCCACATCAGGCGGTCAAAATCCAGATCCTCCTAAAAGAGGGAAAGTACCTAACGGCAGACCTTTTTCTTTTCCCTGTTTCCCAAACACTCCCCACAAACGCTACTATCATTGTACTTTCGCCTGAACGAGTTGTACCTCAACGTCCTAATCCCCAATTAAATTGAAATCCGAATAAACAATTCCTTTTCACACCTGTTTCAGAGTCCAAATACTAAGTAGTACCTAACGCAGTAAGAGGTGTACATTTCGAAACCCCAGTAGATTCGAACACGTAAAAAACGCACACTCACATTTAGTGTGTGTTTTGCACTGTCATAAGAGAGGTAGTCCCCACACACACTCACGCCATCAGCACACCGAACTTTTTTCGTTTTTGTGATTCTAGAGAGAGAAACAAACCAACAACATCCTTCTTTCTTCAACCAAATTCTGTGTGTACTCAAAGGGGTTTTGGCGGAACCATTTTTTTGATTTTTTATTTAGCTTCTCTTTCAATTCGAATTCGATTCTCTGCGTCAATTTTTTCTTCTTCTTTGATTTGAGAATGGAGTATTTGGGGAGACGAGTGAGGAAGGAGTTCCAGGGCCGAGGCGCATTCTTCGGTTCTATTCAGGCGTACACACACGCCACTGGGGTTTTCAGAATCACGTACACCGATGGAGTTTCCGAGGAATTGAGCTTGGCGGAGGTCCATCCGCTGTTGGTGTCGTCGGCGCCATCCCGGCCGCCGCTCCCGCCGCCGGAGTCGTCTTCCAGAAGAGGCGGCGACGAGAAGCGACGCCGCATTACCGGTGAAGGTAAAGTTGGTGGTAATTCAGTGGTTGGCTGTGGCGTTTCTGTTGATGGAACCGGGAATTCGATGGAGTTGGATTTGAATAGCTGTGGTGTGATTGATTTGGAGGATGATGGTGGTGACCATGGCCGTAATTTGGGTAAGTTGCATGCTTTTGATTTGAATGAGGGGTTGAATTTTGAGTTGCATGAGGGGTTGGATTTGAATAAAGGGGTTGCAGAAGAGGGCTCGGGGGTGAGGAGAGAAATGATCGATTTAAATTTGGATGCGGCGGAGTTGGTTGAGAATGTGGGTTCGAAGAGGAAAGTGAGGTGGTTTGATTTGAATGTGGAGTTAAAAGAGGATGATGTCATCGTCTTGGACGATGACGAAGATGAAGAGCCAGAAAGAAATGGAGATAAGCAGAAGGGGAATCAGATCTTAAACATGGAGGATAAACAAGAAAGCCAATCGGAGAAGGGGCGGACCGGAGTTAATTCTGGAAAGGGGGCGGCGTCGGCCTCAGTAAATGTGCATGCAAAGAGGCGCAAGACAGTCAAAGAGGTGGTGGATAACAAAACCGAATCCGATGCAGAAGAGACGATTGAATTGGATCCTGTAACTGGGAAGTTATATTTAAAATCGAAGAAACGTGAAGAAGCCTCATCGAAAAAGGCGTCTAACAATCCAGTTGACCGTGTTGATGGAGGTTCAGGAAGTGCATCGAGGGGGCGACGAGGTACGAAGCGAACAGAGTCATCTAACAGCAACATTAACTTGGCGGCTACACCACAGACGGGGTTGAGGAGGGTCAACCCTAGGGTGGAAGGAACTTCGTTTGCCGGTCAAGGTTCTGCTTCAACTCAGTTGCCCCGTCCCACATTTTGTGCCCCACATGACGAAAAGATGACAGGTTCATCTTCTAAAAAACCCGAGCAACCGGCTGTTCTTCCACCGAAGGTGGAGTTGCCGCCTTCTTCTAGCTGTTTGGATCTCAGCGGAGTTCCCGTCTTTGATGTGTTTTCTATATATGCTTTTTTGATGGGGTTTTGCACATTCTTGTTGCTAAGCCCCTTCAAAATGGCCGAGTTTGTGACATGTGTCGAATCCAACGATTCGACACTATTGTTCGACTCGATTCATTTTGCCCTGTTAAGAGCACTGCGGATTAATTTGCAGTCTCTTTCCAGTGAAGGGTCAAAGACGGCATCCAATTGTCTCAGGTATCAAGTCTACTCCCGCTCGAGAATTTACATGTTTGATCATTAACTTATCGTTTTCCATATTTAACTTTCATTTTTTTTTCACAGGTCGATCAATTGGAATTTTCTCGACTTGATTACCTGGCCTGAATATGCGGTTCGGTATCTATTAATGTACAGCCCTGGATATATTCCTGGTCTGGACCGCAGCAATTACGAAGTTCTCCAAAGGGACTACTACGGATTGCCAGTGCCAGCAAAAGTCGAGATTCTAAGGCATCTTTGCGATGACGTGGTCGGGGGGGGAGCCTTCAGGTCAGAGATGGACAGAAGGACACTGACCACAGAGCAGCCTGTGAGAATCGCAAGCACTTCTTGTGCCACAGGTGGAGATGTGATCGAACCGACCGATGACAATGGAGACGAGTGCTGTCTCTGCAAGATGGGCGGGAACTTAATATGCTGCGACGGTTGCCCAGCGGCATTTCATTCGAGGTGTGTTGGGGTTGTCAGCAGCCAGCTTCCGGAAGGCGAGTGGTACTGTCCAGAATGTTCCATTAACAAGGACAGGCCTTGGAACAAAATGGGCATGTCCATCCGAGGAGCTGAATCGTTGGGGACCGATCCATATGGCAGGAGGTTTCACAGCTGCTGTGATTACCTACTTGTGTAAGTTCTTCCTTTTAAATTCGTCTCGCATTTTTTATTTATTTTTCGTTTTGAATAAATGAGTATAGTAACTTTGAACATACATAATAAATTATTAAGTTTGTATAGTTAGTAACATCCCCCCATCGCTAGCTCACATGACTGAGGTGTGTTTATACGGTATTAGTTTGGCAAATTTTCTAACACCCTTGTCTTTTTTGTGTGTTTGCGTCTTTGATTAGTTTGCTGTGAGTTCGGTTAAGTAGTCTTTTTTGGTTCCTTTCATTTTCAGTTTCTTGGTTCGGTAAACCAGTGAACTGAATTTGAAAAATCAAATCTGAGTTTTTCATGCATTACTATTTCAAGTACACTGTGTACCCGATAGTAATGCCGAACCAAATCAATCAATTTGGTTAATTAGTGATTTTTTTTCCTTTCTTTTTCAGTTTCTCGGTTTGGTAAAACCAGTGAACTGAATTTGAAAAATTAAACCCAATTTTTTTCATTCATTACCCATTCTTCCTTCCATACATGCTTACTCATAAACTACTTCTCATACCACCACTGTTCATTACCTACCCACTCTCCAACAAAACTAAAAGAAAAATCATAGAAAACAATTCAGCAAATCTGAGTTGTTCATCCTTTGTTGAAAGAATACGGGTGGCTCCACACATTCCGGCAATGAAGGCGGTGGTTAACCAGTGATGGCTTTACTGTTGAGGTGGCTCAAGGTGGTTGGCTGGAGAGGATGAAGACGACATGATTGACTTCTATATTTCTCTAGTCAACCAGTCGAAGTGTTCTACATCTAACCCAAAAAGTAATATATAAATATCTATCTAAATACATCTATAAATTTTTGGTATTCGGTACAGTAACAATAAATTACTGATACCACGTTGAATACCAAAAGTTTGGAAAAACTAAAAGTCGAATACTAAACCCAAGTCATGGTTTAAACATTCGATAAGTATTGATTCAATGCCATTGCAGTGCAGTTCGGCTATCTGCCGGACTGGACATACCCCTAGGCATTCACTCCATTCTTTCTATCGACCACCTACTCTAAAGGTGCGTTATTTAAACCAAAAGATAGCTCTATTGGTTGATTGCTTTTCTTTCTTCTTCCGTGATTCTTATGTTTACATAGTTTGCATTTTGGGAGAATATTTTCATTCTCCCGAATAAAATAGCATCCCCTATCAACTCATACATTTTTAATTTAAGTTAATGTGTGTATATATATGTATATATATCATCTTTTATGTTATATCCATACATAGAACATATGACATTAAGAAGATATTGATATCATACTACTTACGCAACATAGTTATACATGATTTTAACCACTACAACACAAATTGTCTCCTCCTAAATACAAATTCTTCTAAAACTACTTTCATTCTCTATTCATTCTCCAAACATAGCCTTTTGTCGCCGCTTCACAATTCACCGAACCATTGATGCGCCGATTTCTAATATTCAAATTGAAATTGTTCTTAGTTATCGTATATGAAGATATATTAGTGATACACAAAGAGCCTTGTCGCTAAAACCTTTGTCTTTCCAATTTGGCTATGGTTAAATTAACCATATTCCCCCAACCAAGTACTTCCTATCTTACAATATTCATACAATTTCTCGTATACATATTGAAGGTGCCGCAACCAAGTATAGGTTTGTTTTTGTATGGCATCTTTTCCTCTTTATTTCCTTTCTAAACCACTTGTCGTGTGAAATTTTGGAAAATACGCAAATAACCTTTTTGGTAAACGGTTGACTAAAGATTATGAAATGGGTGACATTACCGTTAACATGACGACATCTAACAACACGACCAATGATAATTATGATTAACTTTGGATCGATAAGGTATAAGCATCAAGTTTGCTAAGAGACTCTTGGCATTATTGATTATTTACTTTCGATATTTCCTTTCAGGATTGGATGTACATAGTTAATAATTACATCCAATTGTTTTATTTTTTTGCTTTGCACTCGAAGTTTATAGCCATTCTTGAATCAAGAAATGATTGATTATTTGTGTCAATGACTTTGTATTTCCCCTTATAGAAGATAAAAATCGCCATGACCACCTTAATGGTGTTTGCAGAAGCGAAGTTGGTGATCGTGAGTAAAACTTGCGATCATTGTTTATTTTCATAAGTCGGGAGTCTACAAATATCTTGAAAGATGACTTCAAACATCTAAATTTGAAGTTGCAGTGTTTGCAAACAAACTTTAACTTTCAACTTATTTTTGTGACAATTTGAAGTTGCAGTGTTTGCAAACAAACTTTAACTTTATTCTTGAAATGTCTTAGTAAAGTCTATCTAAATAAAAATAAGAGGGTGTAAATATCCAATGCGACCTTAAATTAATTGTAAACGTGCTTTTGGACTATAAAAACCGTTATGAAGAGAAACAAACGCTGAAAAAATAGAGGAAAAGAGCTCTTCAAAAGATTTTGCAAAGACCTTGAAAATTGTGTAAAACAAACAGTCGACATTGTTGCAATCGTTCGGTGGGACTAGCATGTAGAGTGAATGTTACTTCCAAATTTGGAGAAGCCAAAAGCTCGGACAATGTCCTTTATTAACATATTTGTTCCCGTGTTCAATCTTATAGCATGAAAGAAGATCAAGGCAAGTTTGTGATACGTTAGCGTAATGCCGCGTCTCAAACGGATTAATGATATTACAAGCTTTGACTCGATGTACATTCATTGATCTTTTTGAAGAAGTTGTTCATAACTCGAAACAAAGTTACCCTTGATGAGTTTTGAGAAAATGCGATTTCCAACATGCACTTAAGCTTGGCAATGGTATTAGATCCTAATTCGCGGTCGGAATACCCGGGACAAAATGTTATTCGAATGGGCGCCATCTCTTAACTTAAAGGACGTAACAAACGAAGTGTTACACAAGCGGGATCCATCTCTTGAACTCATATGAGTTACCTCTAGAATTTGAATGTTTGAAGATATATGCATGGACCATGGTGCCGCAACAAGGATGTCACTTTCTAATATATGTGAATCATGAACCTCATCGCAGATGGACTAAAAATTGACATAATAAACACATTAATGTGATTTGGACAAAGAATCCGTGAACATTCATTTGATATCCCTTTTCGAGGAAAAAATCATAACCTAGTTGTAGGTTATTATATTTCATTGGTATGGGGGTATTTCTCGCAGTCGATGGGTTCACAAGGTGAACACATTAATTAAGATTGAGGAGATATTTAGAAATAAAGGCTCTCCAAGCCTATGATCGGGTAATCACCACAAAAACTGCTTCATATCGCCGTCAACACCGTATTAAATGATCAAATCTATAATTTTGGATATTTTGTTACAAGAATTAACATTAGTTGATTCATCAATTCGGCGGTTCGATCTATGATTTATCATTCATGGACGTTGATAAGATCCATCCGTTTAGCAGCACCTTAGGATGGCATAGCCTTATACTTAATATACTTATAAGGGCGATAAGGGCGAGGTTCAAACGAAGAAAGGCTTACGGTGGATACCTAGGCACCCAGAGACGAGGAAGGGCATAGCAATCGACGAAATGCTTCGGGGAGTTGAAAATAAGCATAGATCCGGAGATTCCCGAATATGGCAACCTTTCGAACTGCTGCTGAATCCATGGGCAGACAAGAGACAACCTGGCCAAGAGACAACCTGGCGAACTGAAACTTGATATAAGTTATGTAAAGCTAGATATTTATGTTTTGAAATTAATGCAATAGCCTAAAATGGATGTCGTTAACCTCTAAAGACGTTTTCGAAATAATGAATAATTTATTATGGCTGCGGTGTAAAGTCCGATACTTAGATGTCCAACGAACACTAAAGATCACTAAAATAATCAATTTTTAATTATGATATCAACATCAATTATCAAGGAGTAAGGATTTTGTTGCACGAGTGGAAAATACTTAGTTTTGTTTTAATAGGTCTTACTTTTTTTTCAAAGGAGGATAGTTACTGGTTCCCAGTTTCCCTAAACTTCCCCTGGGTCTCGAACCCATGACCAAATAGTTTAGGTGCAAGGTGCTTACTAACATGCTATCTTGTCGTCTTGTCATCTTGACTTTTAATATGTCTTACTTTATATTGTGATTTGAGTATGAGAGTATATCCGTTACCAAAATAACATAAAGCACGAGATCATGCAAAAGATGTAGATTGTATGATAGTCACACCGATGCCGTCGTATAAAAATGGTTGCTTAGATGTCTAATTAGCACTAGAGACCACTAAAATAATCAATTTTTAAGTCGATACGGTATCAACATTAATTATTAGGGAGTAATGATTTTGTTGCACTTGCGTAACATACTTCAAAATTTTTATGGAAACTTTTGAAATTCCTACTTTGATGCCAATTCTGGAACAACTTCAATTTTTGTTCACGATATGAGAGATTTCCGAGAGGATCGAAAAGAGATTTGTTAATTTGTGACTCATTATGGCTATACTTTAGTTACTAAGTAATTACTATTCATATAGGTCTTACTTTATTTTGTGAGTTGAGTACAAGACTATATCCGTTGCCAATATAAGATGAAGTATGAGATCATCATGCAAAATATGTATATATTGTAGAGTAGGCACACCAATATCTTTTTCGTTGACCATATTATAGACCATATATTTTCCTTTCATTTATATTTACATGATGACGTCAATTGCCTAACACATACGACGTCTTACCACTTGTGGGCCCAATGTGGCCATCCTGGCCCCACACAGGCGACAGCTCGCCGATTCCCGATCTGTAAGGGCCCACTAAATGAATGGAATCAATTTAGTGAAAAATTTAATTTTATTTCAACTAGGACTTTTTTTCCCTCAAGACCACCTTCTAATTGCTGCTGGAGCAAGGGTCAGATTTCTTCTTCGATACTGCAAATTTGTCTTGGTTGACTTGACACCCATTAAATATGTCTATAGCTAAATGGTTAGCTCCTGTTATAAAATTGTCAAGAGTATAAATCTCTCTTAGTCCTCCTCAAGGATGGCTTAATACTTTTTGACTGTTCCAGTTTTCTTTTGTGTGCTAAGGTTTTGTGCTTTCTACAATTTGTCAATATTTACGTAAACTTACAGCTCACATTTCAAATATTACTTCACTTTCTTTCATTTGACTGTGCTGTATATATGTATATAAATGTATAATTAATTACCCTTTGCTTTATTTGCAGGTCTGAGTCATGCAACGATGAATACTCGTTTCGGTTCTACGAGAGAAATGATTTGCATACTCTCATTGGAGCTCTACAGTCATCACCCTTCATCTATGGCGAAATAATCAGTGCTATCTGTAAGCATTGGAATGTGAGTCATGGATTTGACAGGACGGGAATTGATTTAATTTCTCCGTCGTCGTATTTTGTACAGTCTGCTTCGCATGAGAAACTGCCACTTTCTGTTACACCATCAGAAGCTCTCGACAAGAATGAGGGTTTCACTGGAAAAAAGTTTGATGAGAAGTCCACAATGACCACCAATTCTAGTAATATTGAAACTGAAACTTCTGTACGCGTAAACATAGCTGTGAATGTTGAGAAAGATGGAGTGAAAATCGACAACCAATTAGCGAGCTCTGAAGGTTCAGCTGAAGTCTCTCAAGCATTCACAAAGACAGAAGCGTTAAAGGAAGGTGGTTTGGATTGTTCAAAAAGATGCACTCAGGTTTCAGGTGATTCCCAGATTCCAGGGAACCCTGCGAATGCTGAAGATCAATGCACAACCACTTCAACATTTGGAGAAGGCAAGAACATAAGTTGTGCAAATTATGTCTGTGCATCATCCACCATAAACTCGACAGCAATTGGGTCTCAAGTGCCTTGTGGGACACACTATGTTAATTGTTATGAATTTGCTCAAACGGCATCCTCGATTTTTAGAGAGTTGACTGCCAAATCAACTGATAAAACCATTGAAGGTGCGAAAAGATCAGCAGAAGAAAATGTTTCAGGGCAGCTAAAGCTTATCTTTAATAGGTTTGCTCAATTTTCGTGGTCAAACATGCGAAATTCAAATGTGACATCAGGCAAAGAAAAGTGTGGCTGGTGCAGTTATTGCAAAGTTCCTGAAGATGAAATGGACTGCTCATTCGTCATGAATGATAACTTTCCAGCACTAGAAAATTTTACGACTGAAAGTCTCGATATTGGATCAACAAAGAGGAAAAACCATCTTATCGATGTCATGTGTCACATCATTTGCATGGAGGATCATCTGCAGGGTCTTCTTGTGGGACCATGGTTAAATCCGAATTATTCGCAGCTTTGGCGTAAAAGTGTTCTTGTAGCAGCTGACCTCGGTTCGATAAAAACATTGCTCCTTGAGGTTCGTATATTTCAACTAGAGGATCTTTTTTACTTAATATATATTTACATGCTGAATCTGTAGATCACTTCCACGAGTGTTCTAAATATGTTTTAAGTAAGGAGTTAGTTGTATCTGAAAAAAAACAATTTTATTTGGAAATCGTTTTCATTAATGTGAGATTGCTCATTTACCAAGTAAAACATTACTTTTGTTTACTCTGCTTGACCATGTCGATTAAGACACAGAAAATATAGCATGTGGCGTGTATAACATATTTAATCATAATAGAAATTATATTTAGTTCACCAGGATGTTACGTTCTTTATGCTCTTGACAAGTTATCTTGTTTCCATTTTACTTAATTGGTCAACCAGCCAGGTTGTTTGAGCAAAATATTTACAATACGTTTGCCGTTATGGCTCCTTACGTGAACGGAATTTTTTTGATTAAAATCTCTCTATTTTTTTATTTAAACTGATAAATCTAAATTGATTTAAAGTCTGTATTCTTAAGTTGGTAATAGAAACAAATCTAAATTAATGTGAGTGGCTAAAAGTATTCAATATAGTTGCTTTTCCTCCCTCTTAATTGTTAGCGACAAGAAGAGAACTAAATCTGGTAAGTGGATGACGTTTGTTGACTGCCATGATCTTTTTGAACTTTTCCTTCCAAAGATGGTATCAACGAAAAGAATCTGAGTCATATCATTAAGTTTCCATTGATTAGTGCATCCTTCCTTCCCAATCCCCCAATTCCCAATAAAACTATTTCAAAAAAACATATTGTATTATATGTAGGTGAATGGGATACAATTTGCATTTTATCTTATCTTGCAGTGAACTGTCCTCTATTTTTTATTTTAATATTGTTTTAGTTATCTTATAAGCTATGGTTTTTGCTTCAGCTGGAGTCGAATTTGCATCATCTAGCGGTTACTGCAGATTGGAAAAAGTCCGTGGATTCTGCTTCTACTATGGGTTCTGCTTGTCTTATTGCCAAGAGTAGTAGACGAGTGTCCTTAAACAATGAAACCAAAAGGACCAGAGCCAAGTGCTCAAAGCTGGAGATAACACAAACTCCAAAGTCTGCATGTGGGTTGCGCTTATTATGGTGGAAGGGTGACAAGGCATCGCGTGAGCTCTTCAACTGTAAGGTTCTGCCTCGTTCATTGGCTTCTAAAGCTGCCCGACAAGGTCCAAAGTTTCTACTATTATTCAGAATTTTTGAACTTGCGATTTTTTGTTGACTGGGCAGTTATCTAAATATGTTTCAAATTTGAGCTGCAGGTGGCTTTAAGAAGATATCAGGCGTACAATACCCTGAAAGTGGAGATACTGCAAAGAGGACCAGATACACTGCATGGAGAGCTGCTGTTGAGACATCAAAAAGCGTGGAAAAGCTTGCTCTTCAGGCATGTCTCTCTTATTAATCTGATCATATTATTTATGTTGTCCGGCTATTGATACCCAATTATCTTGGCTAGTGGATAACAATATTTCGAATTCTAGAACAAGGATTTGGCTGAATATGTGGACAGCACTATTCCATTTACACTACCTATCTAAGTGAATTTATACTGAAATTTGGCCTAATTGAAATCTATGAGTTTTGAATGCCATTGGATATCAAAAGAGAAACATGGATAGATTATACCAAAGCAATGTGTTTAGTATGCAATGAAAGCAAATGTTCTTGAATATTTTCATATGGGCAGGTGAGGGAGCTTGATGCACACATTAGGTGGGGTGATATTGGGAACAAGCAATTCCCCTCAAAGCAGGACAAGGAGTCCAAAAAACCTATCAAATCATTTAAGAAGGTCATAATCCGTAAGAAGAGCTGTGAAGGAGAAATAGTCAGGTACTTACTGGATTTTGGGAGAAAAAGATGTATCCCCGATATTGCTGTGAAACACGGATCCTTACATGAGGACTCCTCAAGTGAGAGTAAGCAATATTGGCTGGAAGATTCACATGTTCCACTGCATCTCATTAAAGCGTTTGAAGAGAAAAAAATTGCTCGTAAGTCGAGTAAGACCATTTCTGGAGAACATAATGAGAGCAGTAAGACAGTGGTGAAGCCCTTGCGGAAAAAGGGGTTAGAGTACCTTTTCGAAAGAGCAGAGAGATTACAGAACCATCAATGTGGGCACTGTAAGGAAGATGTCAACATCAGGTAATACAGGATTGTTTTTGGTGATGTACTTTTATTCTTGATGAAAACTTGTAAATATTGTTATCAAATAAATGACCTCCTGGAGCATCAGTTGTCATTCTTATTTCTTGAATTCATTGGATAAATAACTGGATATGATGTAACATTTCTTTTCTAGTACTAGTACTATGGGATGAAAAACAGTCAGGTGTTCAAATAGCTTTCGTTTTGGCTGGATCCTAAAAAATCTCTAGGCAATGAATTTTAGTTTAAATTATTAAAACATGGCTGCCTTAACGATTTACTTTGATTGCGAATATGTTTTTTTTTTTTTTGAATTAGCATTCTCAATGACCATAACACTTCTGTTGATTTGCAGGGAAGCTGTGAGCTGCCAGTATTGCAAAGGTAAGATGCTCTTAGTTCACTAAGATTTATTTTGATGGCTACTCCCTCTTTTACTTGCCTATTCAGTGCATCTATTTCATTTTTGGGTTACAAATTAATTGTCATTCCTAAAGGAAGATTCCTCATTCCAACGGGTGAGTGGTTGTGGTTTGATTTTTGAAACCGAAACTTGAATTAACAAGTCTGGGTCAATGAAGACCAAAGGTGGCTTGGTACATTTCTCCCATTAAAAAACTCATATCATCATCCTGTTATTTTCTCTTCCATTATAAAGTCCACTTCCTTAAATACTTCCTTCCTTAGTAAAAGGTTGCTGCTCTTAAATTGGATTACGATACCGGCTTAACATCAATACTTTATCTTCAAAAACATCCATCCTTTTGGCAACTTATTTAATACTTGAGTCAATCTTCAGGTTTTTTCCATAAAATACATGCCCAGGAATCTGGTGGATCCAGTACTGCTGAGTCGACGTATACTTGCCATGAATGCCAGGACAGGAAGGTTGTGCAAGTTGATGCTGGGAAAGGAAAAACGGAGTTGCCAAAACGTAAGAAGAAAATGAAAGCACCGAAGCCATTAGACTCGAAGAAAGGGAAAGCGGTCAGCAAAGAAGAGCACCCAGTGGATTTGAAAACGATACCAGAAGATCCGGTGGTTGCACCTGCTGCACGGCGTTCTGTTAGGAATGCTGAACGCATTTCGAAGCTGGTTCAGCAGAGTAGAAAAATCAAAAAAAGGAAGAGGAACAAACGAAAAAAGGACCTCTTGAAGAAGATAAGCAAACGCATTCGGCGTAAGAAAAGGACACCTGTAAATAGCAGTTACTGGTTGAACGGTCTGCATTTGTCAAGAAGGACAAACGATGACAGATTAATGGATTTTAGGAGTAAAAAGCTTCTACTGCTTTCTGGAGAGGCGATTCCCGACAGTGACGAACCTAAATGCAGCCTGTGCAGCGAACTGGAATATACACCAGAGATGAATTACGTGGCTTGTGAAATTTGTCGAGGTAATAATCTCTTACTTCAAATTTACCTGCACTTCAACCTTCTTTTCATTTACGCTAACTGACATGATGTGGAAGATGAATGCTCTTTTTTCCTGAAATAAGTAATGCCTGTGTCCGTGAAAGGGGTTACTGTTAATGCAACATGAATTTGGCAAAAGTAGAAGCAGGACGAAGAAGTGATTATCTATATTAGTGGAGTATAATTCTCTTTTCTTAAATTTGTACCTAGCTTATAACTTTTTTTGTTGGGCCACAACTTGCAGTTTGGTTTCATGGAGATGCTTTGGGTCTCACAGCTGATAAAATCAACCATATCTTTGGTTTTAAGTGCCATAACTGCCTCGAGAAGAGGCCTCTTATTTGCCCTAATCAAGGCTGAACTTGTTTCAGTAAATAGCGCAAAATGATTAGGCAGATAATATCAACAGTTCTGGAACCCGTAGCAAATAGAGCTCTTTCGGTCTCGTCTGAATTCTCCCCTCGATCACTTTTGGTGTCAGGTGATATGGTGTATGGTGGAGGAGCAAAATATGGATAAGTTTGTACATTATATTTCCCTTTGCAAGACCTCGGTTGATAGTATAGATGTCAAAACTATTTATGAAACTCGAACTTTCACCTGGGATTGAAAAGTTCGTTAAGATAGTTAGACTCAAGTTAGAGACATTAAAGCCTTTATCTGAAGCCTTTATTTTATTTGTTGCAGAATATTGTTTTACAATTTTATCTTATTTTGACATGACTCCGGGCGGGGTCGGACTTGATTAGGACCTGTGACATGGTCAACGGGTTGTTGGCCGGAAAATGGCCCATTAAATCACACACTAATTTATTTTCTATGATTTTTTCTTAATTTTTTAAACAGTTAAAAAAAAACATTTTCCTCATAAAAACTGCCTCCAGACTACCCTCCCACGGTTCTGGTTAAGAATTGAGATAACATATTTTCTTTTTTACGTGGAAAACAACTATCTATTATTTTACATATGATGTTTGCCACGTGGTTTGTTGATCTATTTGTATTGAAAAAATAAATCCTGAGAGGGAGTGAGATTTTCGTGAGTGTTTTCGTCCACTTAGAATAACAACCTCTCTCTCTTTTATTTTATTTATTTATTTTTTGGATCCAAATTTTTTGTCCAATTACTTGAACTTATTCTCTAGAAGCATCAAGCTTGGAGATATCTGTGTCCAGTAACTAACTACTATTTGTTAAAAAGAGGTTGTCTTGATTTTTCTTGTCTTTTTGATACTTTTGATAGTCGTACCTCGAACCTTTTTTTCCTTTTTGGGCTTGGATAGTATCCTCAACTTACAATTTGAAATATATATTTTATCTGTTTTTATTTTTCACTCTTAGCTTTATATTTCTTATGCCAAACCTTTTTTGTTAATTTCGAAGGGTCAATGCATCTTTTTTGTTTGGTCATAAAACTGTAGTACCTCTTCTTAATATAATGGCACAACTCCGATGCTTTTAAGTTATTAGTTTTTTCAATTTATATATGTCTTAAATCACCCCCATCAACTCAAATCGACTCAAATGTTCTTTTGGATATTTGCTAATCATTTCACATAGGGGTCACTTTGTGGAGGTTCTTCTTATGTCTCTAACATACTCGCCAGAATTGGTCTTTAAATGGACAAGTTATTAATTTTTGCAAATAAACGAGCTATGTGCCTAGCTGTATTCACGTAATCCTACTATATACCTTGTGGAGGTTCTTCTTATGTCTCTAACATACTCGCGAGAATTCGATCTTTAAATGGACAAGTTATTAACTTTTGCAAATAAACGAGCTATTTGCCTAGTTGTATTCACGTAATCCAATTATATACCTTTTGTATTATGTGCTGACTATACTCTGAGCATTTATGAGATGCATTTATTGAAATGCAATCCGATTCTCGTAATTATTACTGCTCACTGATTTTTTTTCTATATCTGACATGTCGATAGCTGGTGATTAGCTCAGCGCATTAAAGAAGTTGCTATCAGAATTCTCAAGCCTTTTCTCGCCAAATAGTCTTGATTACGTAAATTGGATTTGGCAATTCTAGAAAACATTCACATATGGTAATTTACTCTGTAAAATGTGATTGGCTTATCAAGTAATTCATAATTATTACAATCATTAAATGGTGTTCTAATTTTATCTCCAGCAAGCTGGCGAGATTACGGTCCTGGCATGTAATTGGTCAAAACTCAATATATTATTGCTGGACATTTAAAAGGCAGAAATGAAGGAGATTTAGACACCAACCTGCAGCTGGTTGAAGCTAAACGACAAATCTGGCCCTCGTCATCGTAAGAGGTTTGTTTTTGTTTCCTAGTTAACCTATTTATTGCTGTCTTTTAGTATAGGTAATGCTCTTAAATGAAATTGTCTCCATTATAAGAGAGCCAACTTTTATGCATGCATAAATCTATTCTGGAAAGAAAACGTAACCAACATTTTCTTATATTCCTAATAGGAAAAAAGCATGTTCATTGTTGACAGGTACTCTTGTTGGAATTTTTTTTAATCACGTCTTATCCAGGAGCCCCAGATTTAAAATTTTTCCACGGGGATTTCGGGACTCTTAAAGTAAGTTAATATTTCTCCCTATTTTCTGTTTTTTTTTTCCCTGGGGTGGGTGGGGTGGGGA